CCGTCAGGTACGGACGTCTTGCTGAGTTTCTGCAGGTACTCCACAATATCAGAGGTCTGCAGCCCCACGCTGACAGCTGCGTACAGGGAGTAGGCTGTCAGCTTGTACTCATGGACATGATTAGGCCTGCACACTGGCTCTGCGATGGCCACCAAGAAATCCTGAGCATACTTGTACACTGGTGAGAAGGCTTCCAGAAAGATGTGTCCATCCGGAGCCTGAACAAGAGAGAAACAAAGAGAGAAATGTATGAGGATGAGAAGGAAGACATTCCTTACAATACTGTGTAAGATGGAGAGGATCAGTAATCCAGACATGTCTTACCACCCAGAGGGGGCGAGAAGAGTGATCATTCTTCAGCATCATCTGAGCACGGTAGTCTTTGGCTCCATACTCATCCAGCCTGGTACTGGACTCATCCACTTGCTTGCCTGCAGCAGCAGGTATGGCCTCCTGAGACTCACCGCCTGCAACCTCTTCTTCATCTTCTTCTTCGTCATACGCACGCTTTTTGGACCTCTTGTCTGCAGCCACAACAGTGTGAGTTAGGAACATGTTCTCAGGGACATAGAAATACACTCCTCGCAATATCATGACATGATTATTCTTTCCGCGTCCACAGATGTGCTTGGCTTTACAAGTGTGAAAGAAGATCGTCATCACAATGCCAAGGATGGATCCATTATCAAACATCACAGGACAAATGTGCCAGTGTGTGTGTGTCTTAAAGACGCAGTTAGGTCAAGAAGTGAATTAGTTACCCGATTCCTACTGAATTAAGTATCATTTAAGGCAGTATTACTCTTCAAGGTTATGAGTAAGACCCATATCTAGCCTCATTTTGTGTCTTCCTCTCGTTTGGTAATAGTGTTAAAATAAGAAGGCAGGGAGTATGACTTGACATGAATGATAATTACAGAGATATACAAGGATTTGAGTAGTGGGAAATAAAACCAAGACCTTCCATCCTCCTGGACAAAACTAAACTAAACTGTGTGACTACACCTGCTTGTTAATGTAACACAGTGAACAATAAAAAGAGACGATCATATTAGTAATATACTATAACTACTGAGGGGGATCATCGGTACACTTCAGGGACATTTGGGTTTCATATCCATCCCTGCCTCATTGTCCTCACTTCTTCCTTTGCCACTGATAAAGCTAACTGTGGCTAGATTATAACTGTACATTAACAACTCACCCCGATCTCCTTTATCCTTTTTACCCATTTTACGACTTCTTTAAAAGTTAATATCTTTCAAAAGATGTCAGACATATCTTCAAACTCTGCCTCACGCCCTCCTTGTGGTCCTCACAGACCCGACTGTGTAGCACGATACAAAAGTTGCTACGCCAGAAGACCTACGTCTAGTAAAATATAAGATAATGACGTAACACTTCCGGTAACAGCCTTCAAAGTAAATGTTTGAGAAAAAAAAAATAGTTTCCGAATCTATTTTTCTACTCGCAACCATAAAAAAAAACAAAAAACTGAGTAACATATTACTTTTTATGTTGCATATTATTTTTTTAGAAAATCAGAAGAAATAATGGAATTTTTAAATGAAGCTTAATATTCAGAAAATGTCTGAGCCAGTTATAAAGGATTTCTCACATTGGAAAAGTCACACTTCTAAAGTATCCAAATATATTGTCACAAAAACACATGATAATATATTACACGATTAAACAAACAAAAAACAAACAAATATATGATACGATTAAACAAACAAATATATGATACAATTAAACAAACAAAAAACAAACAAATATATGATACGATTAAACAAACAAAAACAAACAAATATATTATACGATTAAACAAACAAATATATTATACGATTAAACAAACAAATATATGATACGATTAAACAAACAAAAAACAAACAAATATATTATACGATTAAACAAACAAAAAACAAACAAATATATGATACGATTAAACAAACAAAAAACAAACAAATATATTATACGATTAAACCATAGGATTAAACAAACAAACAAAAAAAAGCACAAAAATGTAAGATACAATTATACAATTATTTTTCTAACAAATATAACGTGAGAACTTTATAGTTACTTTATTGTTGCAGTTCAATAGCACACTTCCGGTTTCAGTGCTGCTATCTTTTGGAAACTTGGCAAAAAAACCCACCGGGGACTCGATGTTTACTTCCTGTGTAAAAGGTCAAATTCGTTCTTCGAAGCACCTCTGGTTTTCCCAGCTAAAAAAAAAAAAGAAATGTTTTGAAACTACGTGACTAATTAAGAGAGAGAGATTAAAAAAAATGTCGTCTGATAAAGTAATCGGACCTCCCTTACCCCCTATGTTCAGAAAGGAGGAGAGCGATGAAGACTCAGACTCTGAAGATGGATGTAAGTCAGACAAATTATCTTTTGTTAAGAGGTTAGAGTCGAACAATGATTAAAAGCCCTGGATATTCGCGTCAAGTTTCTTCCCTCATGGTAGTTTATGTGTTTTTATTGTGTTAGTCTCTGGCCCTGCTTTACCTCCCGGGTACAAACGAGGAGGACCGTCGAGCTCATCGGACGACAGTGAACAGGAAGTGTCGTTCAAAAGAGCCAAAACAAAACACACAGCTGCAGAAGAGTAGGTTCAGTAGTGAACGATGAGGTTTAAAAACAACCTTCACAACCAGCAAGACAGTAACTTTTGCTTTTTGAACAGGGTGGAGAAGACAAATTCACAAGAAGATGATGAAGATGGTGATGATGATGGTTTCTTTGGACCAGCCCTGCCACCAGGGTTTAAGAAACAACAGAGTTCACCAGAAAGGTTGACACATGAGTTCTTACATTTAAATGTGTACATGAAATGCTCACAGTCACAATATTTTGTTATGAAAACTATAACTTTGTTGTGTTCCCTCAGGCCACCTGTGCTGGGACCCGCTTTACCTCCTGGGTTTCGCAGAGCAGCATACGAGGACGACGATGATGATGATGATGATGATGATAACAACAGTGAGGGCGGAGGGCCGGCACTTCCACCAGGCTACAGGGCTGAGTCCTCCAGCAGCGAAGGAGAGGATGATGTGATTGGACCCATGCCATCCAAAGGAGATATTCAAGACTCTGTGGCACTGGATTTTGAGCGGAGAGCAAAAAGGATGAAGGACAAGCTCACAGGAGAAGTGAGTTTTATTTGTTTCCCCCGAAGTCTCATCCATTTCACTGATTACAGACTGAAATCTTAACAGGGAGAAAATAATCGCATAAAAAGCAAAAAAACATCTTCAATCTTTTAATTGAATTTGAAGACATTGTAAAGTTTGTGTTATTGTTTTTATGTTTAATTAGGAGACCCCCGAGGTTCTGGCTAGAGAAACATGGATGACAGAGCTCCCACCAGAACTGCAGCACATTGGCTTGGGGGCTCGAACCTTCAAGAAGAAGTCGGGTCCAGAGAACAAAGATCGCTCCATTTGGACAGATACGCCAGAAGACCGGGAGCGTAAGATCAGGGTAGTTAATTCTTTTAATAAACGTTTCTTTTTCCTCACCAAGTTTTTCTTTTTTCAGATCAATTATTGATTTTTTTTCTTGACCCCGAAAGGAACGCCTTGAACGAAAGCAGAAGGGTGAAGAAGAAGTTGATGAAAAAGTTCCAAAACTCTCCAGGAAGGACTTGGAAATGGCAGATAAAGTTTCTAAATATAATGTGAGTTGTGGTACCTCATTGTTCTTGTTTCCTAAATGTCCACACACATAAGTCATGGCAGATATAATAAAGACTACTAAAAGGTAGCACACTCAACTCAATCCCCATTTCTTGTTGTCAGGAAACTAAACGTGCTGAGTCTCTGATGACTTTGCACACCAAAACAATGAAGGAAAAAGCGAAGGAGAAGGCTGACATACCGGTGGAGAGGAAGCCATTCGATAGGGATGCAGACCTGCAGGTGAATCGCTTTGATGATGCGCAGAAGGAGCGCCTCCTTAAGAAATCTCAGGAACTTAACACGCGTTTCTCCCACAGCAAAGATCGAATGTTCTTGTGATGAACTCTCAAAATGTTAAAAGCCTTTTTTGAATAGGTTGCTACCGTCTAAATTGGTGACAACTTCTTACATGGTTTGTACAATATGGACTTTGTTTATGGATAGTCTTGTGTTACACATATGTAAGTTTAACTTTATGCTAAGTAGGAAGTAAACAAAACTAGACTAGGTAGACTAAGAAGGCAAAATAGAAATGTGGCCAACTTGGATTTTACAGAAGAAGCTGCATATTTTATACAACAGATATGGGGAAGAATACACAATATTTTCTTTTTTGCTGAACAGTTGAGCATATCTTTTGAGTTTTAGATTATCATATGTTAAATTTAGCTTGGTTAATATTTCATTTTATCGGACTGAAGTCTTAATTTACAGTATAAATAATTCAGGGATTAATCAATGTTTGATATTGTTTAAATCATAGACAAAACTGCCATTCATTACACATAACAATCCCACTACAGAAGTACATTATAGGGGATAAGCAATGTCGTCCAAGTGTTTATGCAATCAAAAAGGATATAGGAATGTACATACTTTAATGCTTGCTTGATCAAAGCTGCATTAAAGTATCTCTCCTTTTACAAAATAAGTTTTGTTAATGTTTTAGTGTCCTGTCAAAATTCAGACTCTAGTTATTTTACATTCATCCCTTTCGTTAATTCAATTTTATTTGGCCCACAGGATTAAATAAAACTTCCAAAACGTTTGTATGCATTGCTTTAAAATGTATATGTATGCAGTATTCATAGCATCATGTTTCATGTGTTGAATTATTATGTTCCTATTTCTTTGACTTTGATTAAAAATTCATTTTTAAACCTTCTTGTTTTACATTATTATTCCTTCTTTTCATTTATAAATGTGTTGGGATTTACTCCGAAAATACCTCGCTGCAGCACGCAGAATGGGCTCAATATTTTTGAGCGGATGTATTTTTTTTTTTGGACCTTCTGAGTCGCCGTAGTTCAGTTGTTGTTTTCTCTACGCATGCGTGTGGTAGCCTTATTGAAAAGCTACCAACATTTTATTATTAAAAAAAATGTCAGAAAAAGGAGAAGTAGATTTAACTGGTGCCAAGCAGAACACGGGCGTGTGGCTTGTTAAGGTACGTATATATATATATATATATATATATATGTTCAACAACGCTTGGTGGTGGATTTCGGGAACAGTAAATAATTTAAACACACCTAAGGCTAACTTAGCTTAGCATCCAAAGCTACAATGAAAGAAAGCGTTCATTGGAGCTAACGATGCTAAGTTCACTTCCTAACTGCGAGCCAGCCAAGTGAACCGGTCAAAACTACTTGTCATGTTTATTTTGAAGTATGGTTTGCCTTTAAATGTATCTCAACAACAGACGACTCTCAACACCAGATCAACAAAAGGATGGCAGGACATTGAAGTGAAAGCTTTTAGTCTGTGTGGTCTGAAAACGTGAAACTCCACAAAGAACCAGAAACTGGATTCTCAACCTGAAATACAATGAAGCATGTTTTCTTATTGCAGAGCCAACATGTGCAGCAGTGTAAATGCATGTACCTCCAGAGAGCCTGGTATTGTTTATCCCCACAGGTCAGGTCCTATAACATTTATCATGAAGAAATAGAATAATAGAATATAATAGAATCACTTTATTGATCCCAAACTGGGAAATTGTGGCATTACAGCAGCAGGTTATCCAAACACACACTATGAGTAAAAAACACAAAGTTAGCAAATCTAACATAATATGATATTAAATACAAAGTAAATAAGCACTAAAAATATCAAAACTAAGAATGTGAATATGTACAACCAGGATTTAACTAAGCATTACTAGTCTTAAATAGGAAGATTGAATGTAAATGTGCAAAAACAGAGTCGTAAATGGTTGTAAATTAAATATCAAAGATTGAATGTAAATCTGCAAAAACAGAGTCGTAAATGGACAGTATTGACATAAGTTTAAGTGCATGAGGGTAGACATATTATAAGCAGAAACTATACAATATAACGGCGAGCAGACAGCCAAATGTAGGATGAGAAATTACTCCACACGAAGGGGGTGACTCATTTAATGAATGCAACTATCACAAGGTCAAATTAAACGTGTAAAAAGCTGGCATTATCAAGTTTGTTTTTGTTTCTTTCTCTTAGTTTTTACATTCATTTTATTTCCATGTGAAGGGGAGACGACACAATAAGTTTCTTGTTCCTTCTCACAGGTCCCCAAATACCTCGCTCAGCAATGGGCAAAAGCGACAGGCAGAGGAGAGGTCGGAAAACTTCGAATCTGCAAGTATGTTAAAAACAGCAAACCGTTATTTTTTTTTTACGTAGTTTTGTGTGAAGGAAGAACTAAACATTTGCTCATGAACGATGAGGTTGTATGGGTGAAGAAGATGGCTGTGCAAGTCGCGTTGGATGTTGTTATGCATTTCAAATGAATTTAACATATTCTCCATTGCCTTTCAACTCGTGCTGACTTTGCTCTTTTTTTTTTTCTCAAAGGAAAGGAAACTTAGGAAAAGCAGAGGTAAGTGATGAAATCTTACTCGTCAAACTTTTCATCAGATTCTCGTCAAGTAAGGGATGGATGGCTATTGAAGCCCTTAACTTCATCAGATTATTTTCAGTTTGGTCTATGGGCATGCTTATGCTTTCTCTTTTTCATGAGGGAGAAGCTAAAGCCATTTCTAATATGTACTAGTAAACATGCAAAATGATGATGTTGTATACACCTAGCAGTTCCAATTTTATTCAAAGCAGTTTTAAGGCCTGGAGATATTCATTTTGAGAGAAATGATTTCTGATAGGAAGCAGTGTGGGTATAATACATTATTAATGATAACTGTTTAAAACTCTTTTTCAGATTGTCACTATTGAGCATTGATTTTTTCAAGATGTAATAAGTTTTGTATAACGTCTTATAACTGTTTTAGTGCATGTTCTGTTTTATATCATGAAATTGTACTAATTGTACTTGTACTTTGATCAAAAGTAAGGACAGTGGCCGGTAAGCTTATATGTTTACTACATATTCTTTACAGGTGTCTTTCACTTTGAATGAAGAGTTGACTGTGATTGAGGGCATTGAAGATAAGACGGTGTCTGCACCTCGTGAGCACCCGTTCACCATGCAGACAGTCGGAGGTCAGACGCTGGCTGTCTTCACTGAGAATTCATCGGGTGAGTTTCTGCTTTCATTTTTGAGCCCTGCGGGGGGAAAAACTTTCTTTGAATGCCTCAACCGCAAGATATGACACTCGCTAAAATCTACTAATTATGTTGTTATGCTGTTATGTGAAGTTTATTTTCGTTGCCCAACGGTAAGTTCTGTGTGATCAGGTGGTGGAGGCGCTCATCCTGCAAGTGTTTGTACAGCTTGCTGTCTTCATGCAAAGTCTTTCCCCTGCCTGCTCGTCTCTGTGTGTTGTAAACTTTAACCAGGATGAGGTTGTTCACAGTCCCAGCACAGTACATATAATTGATGTACTGCTCATATGGGATACCTGCACACTCATTGGAAAACAGAAAAGCTGTCCTGTTGAAAAATTGTTCTTTTCCAATCTGATTTCAGTTTCTGTCTCTGTCTGTCTATAAGCGAATTTTAGCTTCAGTGTTTGACACTCTGTCAGTCAAACTTTGTGGTTTAACCTTTCCAGTATCTGATCCAGCACAATGGCCCCATTTGGAATTAATTAACATAGAGTCGATTAGAATCAACTCAAATCATTGCTGAATTTGGAGCTGATTTCATTTGTGCATGTGGTTTGGTTTGAATTTCACTGCCCTCATCTGCCCTCTGTATGTTCTATTTTTTTGTTGTTGCCATGGGTGCTGGTGAGCTTGTGCTTCTGTTCTTCTGTGTTTGTATTTGTGTGTGTGTGTGTGTGTGTGTGTGTGTGTGTTAGGGCTGCACAGCTGAAATTAGTTAACATTTTTAATTTGTTAAATATACTTTTTTCCCATTAAATACAGTATTTTTTTTTCAATGGAGACCTGTCTAAGTAAGCAGCTATCAATGCAAAACAACTTTAAAAGATGTAGTAGATTGACATAAATCTAAAGTGAGAGTTTGTTTTTGCTGCATCTTTGAATGACAGTAAAATGTAAGGTATTCAACACCAGCGTAACAGCTGGTTAAATGAGATGTAATACTGTTGTTTCTTTATAAGTGAAGTATATTTGTGCAGCCCTGTTGTGGTTATGTATTTGTTTTTGGTGGGACAAGGTTATCTGTGCTTCTTTGTCATAAGGGCTTGCTTGCTTTGCTAATGCACACGCGCGTGTGTACCCGTCAAAAATTGCGCCAAGATGCACTGTGTGATCGTTTTGGTGTGCGACTAAACCCTTGGGTGTGGTTCTTACTGTTCGCTCCCCTCCTCCGTCCGTCCTCCATCCCCTGTATTTTCATGTTTACCATCCCTCCCTTCCTGTAGGCCAGTCAGAAGAGAGATCTGATGGCAGCAGCTCAGTTTCGGGGGCGGGGGCAGGCCCAGGTGAGTCCAACGTTTCACCAGCGAGTGACAAAGTTGCACTAATAGGAATCAGACACACTGTCTGTTATTTTTAAAATATTGTGTTTATAGTATCACAATAGAAACCTTAATACATGCTTAATGCATGTATTGACACCAAAGCTGTAGACACATTGTCCTCAGGAATCACCCAGTTTCTACTCCAAGCCTCACACATGCTTCTTCTATTTTTTAGCATACTGGTGCAAACACAATGGAGCTTCTGCACAGAGTGCATTGCCTTGAATGAAGGATGGAAATGAGAGTATGTGTTTCGAATGGTTGACACTGCAAATGTGCAGGGTGCCAGCTACTGGTTATGATGGTTGTAATACGAGTGAGTCCGGTTGTGATTTATTGTTGGCTTGAAAGTTTAGATCTTGATTTAAATGTTAGTTTAGATTACTTGGAGATCAAAGTGGATGAAAATGATGGGAGTATCAGAAATAGATGCTGGAATTTTACAACATTTTCCTTTCAATTTAAGGAGTGAGCCTGGGCTGAACCACATTCATTCACTAGCAAAGGCAATCTACTGTATGTTGTTCAATTTGTTTTTACTCCAAACATTCAATAGTTCAATAATTCCTTCATCCTTTCTCTCTTACACACATGTAACTGTTCCTCTTTCCTTCCATAGGAAGTAAACATGCATTAATAATGCATTCACACACACACATGCATTTAAAGTGGTGTTTTAATTAAGTCCTCGTTTTCAGATAAAATAGCCTTGGAGGGAGTGGTGGTGCAGAGAGCAGAGTGCAGACCTGCTGTCAGTGAAAGCTACATGAGACTGAAGAGGTGAGTATTGAGTACATGCTAGTATGTTATGAGCCTCACCTTCTATTCAATTTGCTGTGTTGCATGCATTACTGTAGATCATTAAAAATAACCAGTCATTTAATTATGTACTACTAAAATAGTAAGTGTATCATGCCATCACTTCGTCAATTCATCATGTTAAATCTTTTTTTTTTTTAAATCAGAATTAATATTTTTCATGTCGGTTTTATAAATATCATGACTTCTCCAAAAGGTAAACACATTCTTTCCATCTTCCAGGTTACAAATTGAGGAGTCCTCTAAGCCAGTCAGGCTGTCACAACAGTTGCAAAGTCCAGTCACCAACAACTACAAACCTGTTGCCAACCATACTTACAATGTAAGAAATACATGCCATACTGGAATGCTGTTTACTTTGACCACTGAGCTTTTTTTTAATGTTTCATCAAAAATGTAACTTGTTGGTACAGAGGCTACAGTCTTCAAAGCGGACAGCCCAGGTTCGAGTCCGACCTGTGTCGCTCCTCTGCTGCATGTCCTTTCCAGCTCTCTCCCTGATTTCAGTTAATATAGGCGTTTTGGTTCAGGTTATGTTATTTGTACCAGATTTACCTAAGGGTACAAATAGAGTAACATGAACCTAAACCATAAATGTAATAGTCAATGGAAGTATTGTAGCTCTGATACGACCAGTGTGTTTACTGTTTACAGTACATTAGAGGTGGGGGAAAAAGTCTATTTATGTAAAAAATCGAGATTTTTCTCTTCTAAGATTTAAAATCGATTTAAATCGGTTTTTTTTGGGCAAATCAGTCACTCCCTGCTAAGTGCTAATGCTAGCTCTTTAACTCAGTAGAATTCCAAATAGAGCAACAAGAAATGCGGCCAGTCTCACAGATGACTGGAGTAGATCCTGAAGTACTAATTCATGAATAGACTTTAAATCCATGGATGGATGAATCCAGATTTCCATGAATCGAAAGTCGATTCTGAATCGAATCGTGACCCCAAGAATCAAAGTCGAATCATGAGACACCCCAAGACTCCCAGCCCTACAGTACATTACAGCTAAGCTCCTTATAAGTCAGCATTTAAGCCAATTTCTAGTGTTCCACATTTACGTCCATACAAAATAGATAGATCAAGTATGAGGGGAAGTCCTGTTGCATTCTTCATGACATGATGAACACCAGTTGAATGAGAGTCCTAATAAAAGTGCCATGTGCTGGTGTGGATCTGTAATGTAAACGACACCTGACCTCTGTCTGTTTACTTTCTGCTGCAGCTTGAGTATGACAGGAGAAAGAAGGAGGAGGGCAAGAGAGCCAGAGCTGACAAACAGCAGGTGTTGGACATGTTGTTTTCTGCTTTTGAGAAGCACCAGTACTACAACATCAAAGACCTGGTGGACATCACCAAACAGCCTGTGGTAAGACCAGAGGGCAAAATCAGAGCTCTTGTTGTGGGACGGGTGAAGCTTTTTCTTAGGAGAGTTGTTGATTAAGTTAAAGTTCCTGCTGTTTTTATACCTTAAAGTCACACAAAACCACAACATGTTATTCATCTTTAATCCTAACTGCTTCATTTCTTCTCTCAGATTTACCTGAAAGAAATCTTGCGTGATATTGGCATCTACAATGTGAAGGGAACACACAAGAATACCTGGGAGCTCAAGCCAGAATACCGACATTACCAAGGAGAGGAAAAGACTGACGAATAGTTTTCAGACCTCGCAGGGCTGATACACCATCTTCTTCATTTGATGGGGGTAACTCCCAAATCAGGTCTTGATTGGACCTTGGAGCTCTCACCTGATTTCTTTACATCAGGTGTGGAAACACACTGACTAACGAGGTGAAGCAGAGGTGGAGTTTTACAAAGAGAAGTTGTTGTTTCTTATTGTTGTTTTGTAGGATACAAGAAGAGGCGGCATTAGGAAACAAATTGAGGTTTTATGCTGATGTGCACCACAACCTCATGGTAAAACAAAGTATTTGAAATAGTTGTGCCGTCCATCCGAGGAAAAGGACGTCACATTTGAAAAAGCAGAAGATGCATTCTGCTTTTTAACATTGATTTTTGAAAATGGGTTTACTTTTCAAAGGATAAACTTGTAAGCAGGTAGGATGTGTTGCAAGAAATGATTCCCTGATGTGTGATAAGGGATTTTCTTTTTCTTGACTTTTTCATTTTATTGAAGTGATGTGCTTCTCTTAAACAACCTTGCAAGTTTCAGAATCATGATTTTGGAAGATTAATTCAGCTTGAACTTGTTGAAAATATCTAAACTGCTAATGTTGTATTCCTTTTTAAAAATCACGCTTCAGGCGCCTGACAATTTTAACTGGTTTTACATTTTGTTGACTTCTGTAATAAATGTTTCAATAGAAAAAGTTACATGTTCTAGTTTAACTACATGCCTAATATCAAAGCACCTGTGCAGCTATTATCACTGAACATCCCTTGTTTCCCTACAGCCAGTCTGGCTTTAGGTGTTTAACTAAATCTTAAGAAATCAGACCACTCTAGTCTTTGTGTCCCTGATCCGTTTATTGCTTACTTTCAGGCAAATGTGGAACAAAAGAATAATGCACATTATACAGAACCTAATTTGGGGCTTCAAGTATATTCTGGTGGCAGAGCAGTTTAATGAGCAACTTCCACATCTGTGGTTAACTGGAGTTCTCGGAATTTGCACAAATTCAGTATTTTAAACTGGAGGATTGATGGGTGCTTGTGCACAGCCATGCTACTCATCCAGGGTGCAGCTAGGAACAGACAGCTTTTGATATCAGAGTAATCCAAAACACAGGAGGATTGTTCAGATACATTGTTAAGTTTAATGCACGTAAAACACTGAAGCTTATAACACTTAAATTTTGGCCTCAAAGCAAACCTGATGAAGCCACATGGCAAATAGTGATGTTCTCTCCAACATTTTACATGCATTGAACTTGAAATCTATCTGAACAACACTGATCTTTTAAGTAAGTACAATTAAAAGGAAGGCCTCAACTGGAGTCAAATTCATTTTTATTGAAAACAACTTGGCAGCAGTTTAAAACTCAACATGCACAGAACGATTCACATTGTTTGAATCAACCGTATCAGAAAAAAAAAAATCTGACAGCACAAATGTTTATAATTTTTCTATAAATATAGAGAAAATGTTTTCATCATATGGGGGAAGAAAGGCCATTTCCACAGATCCAATCTCCATCAGTTGTTATGCAGAGTCTGCTGATCACCTACAAGAAAGTGAAAAATATTAAAGGGAGATGAAACACAACATGAATGTCATCCTGTAATTGGTAGTTCATCTAGCGACTTCAAAATGCGTCTGTACATTGATACTCGAGAGTCCGACTGACAACATCTGTAAATCTAACCTGGAACAATGCCCAATAATTTCACATGTATTCCTCAACGCAATCTGTGCTGCTATAGACTGAGCAGTCAGAAAGCATGAGGAAGGTTTAGTTTAGCATCTCTATGCAAACCTAGAAGCCAAATAAACCTGCTTCAGGTCTATCAGTGGATGCAACCGAAACCTAAGTAACAAGTACTCACCTGCAGATAATAAACTCCTCTCAAATCAGCTCATCAGTATCTGCTCAAGCTGCTGCAACAACATCTTTCCGGTGTCTTCTGAAGAGCTCATACCTTACAGACTGGAAATACAAGAAAACCATGACATTATAGTTTCATATAGCAAAACAAAGTGATGCAATATTACGCAGTTCAGGTGATTAATAGTAGCTATATATCCTCCCTGATTCAATCCAAGACGCCATGGGAAAGAGGCGGGCAGAAAGCGCAGGGACATTTAATATTGCATCTGAAATTGTAAAAACCCAGGTTATCTCACATCAGAGAGCCCAGGCTGTCAAAGATGCAGCTGCTAACGAGGCTTTAAGGCTTGATATTTAAAAACCTTTTTAGACCAAAGCATACGTCTTTCAAAAAAAATAAATAAAAGGTAACCACATTTTTACGTACATTTCCAAACACAGCTTGGGGTAGATGGCAGCACTCCGCTCCGAGCTCCTTGCTCACACTCATTTCTTCTCATGGCACACTGGTGTGTGTGTCAACAGCACATTCGTCGCTGTTTGAGCTTCAGCATTCTTGTGATGTTCAAACACAGCAATCATCCTCCATCTGGCTCGCACACATGAGCTGCTGAAAAGACGGAAGAAAAGACAAAGGGGAAATTAATCAGTACTTCCTGAAAGACTCAAACATTCACTTTAATTCAACCAAGTAACAGGATACACTTTCTTTAGGAGCCTTGTCTGGATGCTTACACCAAAACATAGGTGTTAGACATTCACCTTTGAACCCAGCTGATAAAAGCGTTATATTTATATTTAGTCTACTGCCCCCCCTTCTTCTTCATGTAAAGCATCCTTGGGTTTCTTGAAAGGCGCTATATAAATCAAAGCTGTTATCATATGGTTGAAACATTATTTTTAATGTAGTGCTTTTAGGAAATATTTTTGAATTCTTGAGACAAAGCGTAGCCACTAACCCAGTGCTAGAATAAAACTCTTGGAATATTAAAGTACTGTGCGTGATTAATGGTAATTACAGTTTACTGCTTATTTCAAAGTTTTGCAAATTGTAGCTACCATTGAAAGGCAGATAGTGAATTTAATTTCTTATTAATAAAAAAAATAACCCAAGTTTGGTTACTTGGATAACTTCCAAGGATTAGGCGTCCCTTTGACCCCTGGATAGGACTGATAATAAAGCATGAAGCTGCTTTCTCACCAGGACTTTGGGGAGTATAATGAACATCTTAGTCAACCTTAGTTTACATTCATATTTTAGTTTACATCACTTCATCATTCATGGTTATTGTCGATTGAATTGTCAACTACTAGGCCTGTATGAAATCATCCAAACCCTGTGTCTCGGGTGGGTATAAAACACGCTTGAGGAAGATTTAGACACTTTATCTCTGCAACAAACTCATGTTAGCTGTAATGCTAGGACACATGGCTAAAAGGCACTTTCACCGGTGTTATGCATTTTGTAAATTCTCCTCTTGCTCGACATTAGTTAGGCGTACTTTTTCTTTATTTAGTTAGCAGTCTTTAGGTTGCAGCCAACGCTATTATTTAAGTTGTGTGTGCCATGGAGATACAAAATGGCACCAAGTTATTAACACGTGTCCACATTTGAAGATTTTTACGCGTTTAACTTCGCACACCTAATTTTAAATTGAGCTACACATGACAGTGTGATACGTAAAGATGAAATACTTACAACACAGTACGACGGAATACATAGATGAACATGTGAAGCTGTTACACTGCAGATGAACAGCCATCGTACTGCTTCCTCAGAGAGTGAGCAGTGAAAGGAAGGACTTACTTGTAGCTCAGTGATTATATAGGTTGCAGCTTTTGCTCAATTCCGCCGCCCTGTGGCCGAATAGAAAACTTTACATTACTTTGTCGCCCTCTGGTGGTCACAGCTGGACACTGCTCGTTTTCCTCAAGAATGAAATGCTGCAGCTGGAGCCTCTTCAAAGTGCAGTCCCATTACAAAAAAAAATAATAAAGTATTCAGACATGGATATTTACTGAGATTATACTATGATCTGTTTAAACCCAGGGCATTAAATGAGATAGTGATAAGCTTAATAAATAACAAAATAAGTAGCTGTCCCCGATCTTGACCCCTACATTTAAATTTATGTAACATTTTTTTTAGATTTGTTTCAACTGTGTAATTAAAAACATCTTTATGATTAAGTTTAAACAAAGGTTGAAAGACTTAGATTTATTGTGGGTTTCATTTTTAAATTAAAAAACTATGCTCAAAAAATCATGTCCCTTGTTTTCATGTCACTACCGAAACACAACAGTTTTAGTGGCTTGGTTGAGCCTAGATTTAAGCCACACCCCTGAATTTTTGACCAGGAAGTGACATTGCATCTCTGTCCCCCATGGCTGCATGATAAGCAGCTAAATCCCATAGTTTTTAAATAAATGTGCTCCAAAGTCTGAAAATCAGTGTGTAACTTTTAAAATTGTCAGTACCGAACACACATTCTCTTCAATTATGTCAACTTTTTGGGGTTTTATGCAAATTATTATGTTCTATGGGTGTACAACTCTTCAAAGATGTGTTTGCCTGCCATGTGCTTGCTAGCAGTCTTTAATTATGCTCAAAATTAGCTAGAATTGTCACTACCGAAACAGATGGTCAAATTCGGTAGTGACATTATCATTTCGGTAGTAACAAAATGGACTGGTTAGGAGTTAAATCTCATCATTTTGAAATAAATGTGTTCCAAAGTGTTAAAATCAGTGAGTTTCTATGAGTATCATCATTTCAATCATCTATTTACAGCAAATAAGCAATTGATAAGTAATATTTGTACTATATGGTCATGGATGAACATTTTTCTTCAAAAATAAATTATTTTATTGACCACTAAACATACCTGCTTGTAATATTCCCAACATCAGGCATGTTATGAGTTAAAATTAAGCAATAAGGTTGAGGGAATATGATAAAACACTACAAAGAAAATACTGGTCACTACCGAAACACTGGGTGTTTAAAAAAAAAATATATATATTGAGTTATCAACTAAAATGTTACGATACTGATTGGTTAACTGTATGTTCCATCTCATTAATCATTAACTCTGAAATCAATCTGATCAGCATTTAACATTTTAGAAAGAAAGATTGCACATAGATTTTGAAAATTTTTAAAAATTGAAATTTGAAATTTGTTAAAAAAAAAACATTTTTATTGATTTTATTGTGAAAACCTTCAATAAAAACTTAAATAATCTTTACATAAGGGAAGTAAACATAATACTAACAGGTTAACATAATGTTGTTTTTATCATAGTTTAATACTATATACAAATTTGGGGAGATAGACTACATTCCAAAACAGTCTAAAAATACAATATCAAATTTGATTGTTCTTTTATTAGATATGTGTACTTCAGATATGGAACAATATATATAGGGAAAAGAATTTGGAAATAAAACTTTTTCAATTTCAAAATATTTCCAAACTGACTTTGAACCAATTCGGTAGAATGGCCCATTTACAAATTTAACTGGATAACGTTACTGGGTGATTATCACATGAATTAAGTTCCCATTAAAAAAAACTGCTTACTTTCTCACATTCTCTTTAACCCGGTGTTAGAACTGCATGCACCTCGCAGTACAGCTTTAAAACTGAATAAGTCATATTTCTTGGGCAAGATCTTTGATGACAAAGCATCTGAAGCTTGACAAAGTCGTTTGTTCTCATTGTTCGATAGACTCGAGAGAAGATGCGTTTTCATTGGCCTGCTTAAATATGAGCTGCTAATAGTGTTTGACTCTGAAGGATGTATAGGAACTTCACAGAGGGCTGTAGGGTGACATTACATCTGCCGTAGTTTTTTTTCTCCGGCGAGGTGCATGCAATTCTCGTCCTAGCATCTTTTACCCAAGTCAGCCTAACGAAAAGTTATAAGCCTGCTTGACATGATACAGAGAGCAAGAGCCTATTACAGTATAATTTATATTCTTAATGACAATTAGGCTACATTTCATTACAATTGCATGCATCAGTTTTAAGTAGAGTGCAATCAATTAAGTTTTAACTCCCTATATTTTAATTTATAGAGTATTTATTCAAGTCTTTTTACAAATGTTTACAGGTATGACTGTGTAAGTGGGTATGGGTGAGATGTGCTTGGATTGTGTTTGTGTGCTGGTTTATCTGTACATATTTTATATTTTATATGCTGCAAACAGGATTGCTTCAACTGAGTTTCGTTGTATTTACATGCAATGACAATAAAGATAAAGATACACTTTAATGATCACCAAAGATATTTCTTTGTAAAGATCTATCTATTAAATCTAATGTCAGGCTAAGTACAGAAATCAACACTGTTTCATTAGTAGGCTACATGTTACTTTCAATGTAGGCTATTAGCCTCTGCATTTATTGAAATCATAATCATTATTTTTATTGGAATGGTTTGGAGTTATAGCAGTTAGAAATTGATGATCAAATAATAAAACACTTGTAGTTTAAGTTAAAATAACAAGATGAAGACGAGATGAATCAAAACATTGAATTATCAATGGAAGCCTGCGCTGCAAGGCAAACACGCACGTGCTTTGACGCGCGTGTCCGTGACGGAGGAGCTGCAGCACTTGTTCATTGGGCTCCGCGAGTTGAAATGCTCTCCCAGATTCCTGTGGATTTATGCGCAGACATGCAGGCATCAACGAAGACGTAAGAACAGGTAAATTGTTAGATTTGTTGAAGCATGACTTAATCTCTTTGTGTGGTTTCATTAATGTGAATTAAATAGTTGGTAAATGTGACGAAATTACTTTAAAAGACTGAATAGCCTAGTAATTACTTTCTCCAGATACCACCAAATAAAGCTGGTGCCCTAGCTGTTGAATTAAGAACAACTGTGAGGGCAATGTTGCCTGAAATAATGTGTTTGTTATTTAAAGGAATGTTTCGTTAATTCTTCCACAGGCAGTAAACAGTGAAGCAACAGCGCAGCTGCAGCATGTTCAGAGCAGTGTTTGGAAACAAGAGAGACGGAGGAGGAAAACGAGGAGAAAAAAAGAAACAAAGACATCAAGGTAAGGATAAAAATATTGAAAGTACCTGCGCATACAGAACTGTGGCATTTAAGCTCAGTTTTAAACCATGTGTGTCACCTTTTGCCTTTACCCATGGGCTTACCTTGATTATATATTTCTTTACAGTTTAAAAGCATATACATTTTCCTTTTTGGGATCCCTGATATCATGAATAAAAATAGATAGAAATATGTACTCTATTGACCGCAAACCAATATTTATCTTGTCATATATCATGTGTTATACACACTATAAACTACATCTATTGCATTTTGACAGCGATATTCAGGTTCTCTTCTCTTGGGTGATTTAAGTAGAGCCATTTCAATTAGCCTAATTCATCAGTGTGTTCTGTCCTTCACACAGTGTCCCACTGCTTGCATTTAAAGTGTGTCAGGAGAAGTTAGAGTAGGTTAGGCAAAACATCCTGACCTACTAAAAACATACTGAATTGCACCAGAATTTATGAGTCGGCCCCAACTGAATGAGAAGATCCTGCAGACTTGAGGTACATTCCTCTGTGCTGTAAATCAACTAAATGTGTTTTTTGGATTATTATTGACACTGTAAAGTCTAATGAGCAACTTCATCATGTGGGCTGTTGAAACAAAACTAAGATCTTGCGTTATTTTTTCCGCAGGGTAGAGCTCTTTTGTCTTTCTGCAATTACCATGGCTATTTCAGACTGCACAGTGAAGATAGATGAACATAAGTAGAGCTCAGTATTAGAGCAACCATGTTGCACATTAATATTTAATCATTTGCTGCTCTGGGTATAGGAAGAACAGAGAGAAAGATAGAGAAGTGTGTCAGTCTCATTAAAATGATATAGTATGTTTACAGTACATGAATGGCTCTGATCATCTGAGGGAGATATCACTTCTTCACAGAAGCTCATGATGAAACATTTCAAGGCAATGATCTGCAAACACTTTCAGGGATTATTCAACTGCACATAGTGTGAACTGTAATATATGTAGTGGACCTCTGAGTTGTTGTTTTGCTCATAGTGATAACAGCAAACTCATTTATGATAGTTAAAAGTGAATGGCTGAATTATACCACAAGGAGAATTACAATCTGGTTTAACCAATATCTGTAGCAATAAGGCCTCTGTAATCACCTGGCTTAGTGACTTCTAATGCATAATCCTTTTTGAATACACAGGATAAGGCTTAATGAGTGCTATAAAAGAGGACATTAAAATGATTTAAATATTAGAATGAATTATTATTAGGTGTGTAGCCTCTTAATTGAGTGCAATCCCATTACTTTGAATAGATGTTCTGGTATTGCCAACTTTCCATTACCTCACAAAGCAATATGCCTCCAAGACAAGATATGTTCACTCCATCGCAGCCTTATGTGAGACATATTTCATTATGCTCTCCCTGCGATATGTTAACTCTGCCAAACTTCTGTTCAATCAACTCACCCTACTACAACTATGCCAAAGCTTTCTAAACGATGCTTCTCTAACCCTTTACATCTGCACTGTTCTTTCTTTGTACACCATCTTTTCCGTGCAGGTGGAGGCACCTTGCAAAGAGAGGGAGCCGGGCATGCCACTCACTTCCATGACAGAAACAGCGGTTACACCCAAAGCCCAGCAAACAGGAAGAGACTGACCAAGGGGGTGTCCATTTCTTTACCTTCCTCCCCTCTTCTTCCACGCCCAGCTGACGTAGTTCCCTCACAGTCATGCATCAGGTTCACAGGTGGGTTTATTGAAAGTAGTGATTAAAACTAAGCCTCATGGTCTCTCAGTCTGAAGGCCTGAACATGACAAGACGCTGTGCACGAGGGGATAGAGGCAGAAACAGCAGAAAGCTTTCATGGGTTTGGGTTGATTAGCAGAGAGAGCTTCTGTGCGTTCAGCTGTTCCATGCATGTGACAGCAAATAAAAGAGCATACAGACTGTGCCCCCTGGGCCCAGAACCATGAGACAGATTGTCAGAGTAAATGATTGAACAAGATTACTTAAGGCAAAGGAACCCCAATTAGGGAGGTCGATTATGAGATTGTTTTTAGAGTTTGGATCTATATTAATTTAATAAAATATCTAATAATGTCATGCTTAAAGACAACGTGTAATCTTCTGAAAAAAATATTTTTTTTGCACCATCTGGGCTGAAAGAAAAAGCATCTCATGTAATGTTGGTTGTTGGCGCAGTCATGCAAATGTGCCATATGTCTTTAAGTTACACATATAGCTTTGAATTGGGACACTTGTTTGAGTTATGCATGGCATTTCTCCATCTCTTCTTTCCCCTGTCAAACCCTATAGTCAACTGTTAGATACACAGTGTATTACCAAAGATTTAGTCGTTTTTCATTTCCCCTTGTTAAAAATGACATCTTCTTCTCTCGTACATTAAAAAAATCTGCACTCTCTACACATGTTTACATCTTCCATTAAAATGGTTTACCAGCTGGACAGACGCATCAAAACAATGCATCATGCTCAGGAGCAAAATGTTTCATTTCACAAGCGCAGGCCTTCAATGCTGCTTGATCAATATAATTCTCATGCACACAGGCAGCCCTGAGAGATAAACTAAACCGTGTGTACACTTGAAGTTTCATATTTACACATCACAGTTGTGTGGGTTGGATAATGACTATATAATCAAAAATGAGTTGCAATTTCAGAAGATAATAATAGTAGGCTATGTATTAACTTTGATTAAAGAGTAGAGAATAACTTTTCCCCAATCAGTAGATGAAAGTGAAAATATATCAAATCTACCTAAATCACTCTGCAAAATGATTGTTTAATATTCAAGTGAAATCACAATAAAATTAACAGCTTTCATAAGTTCCTTATTCATTAAGTTAAAGCAGAATAATCCGTGTTTAAACATGTTTTGTAACTGAACTAATACAGTAAGTGTGTGTTGTATGGTTATTAATGGGAAATAAGTTATTCAATAATGTAAAACATGAAAATGATCTGGGACATTTCCAGTCAAGTTAAATCTTATAGTTGAAGGTTGTTTAGCAACCACCAGTTTATGATTGCTAGGTGGGGGTCTTCAACTTGGAAAAGCACTAGGTGGCAGTGTCCTGTAGCAGGAAGAGCCATTCAGAAAACGATGCTGTTACATTTCATTGCATGCAGCGCTGCCTTGTTTCCCCTGACTACACCGAACCATAAAATAAAACTACATCAAGTATACCAAAAATACATGCTATCAAGGCATTCTTACATTTGGTGGTTGTGCAAAAAAGCACACATCCAGCTGTATGTCAGACTGCACAGCAGGATTCAAACATCAAATAACCTTGAGTGCAGAATCAGTGTTCTCAAACATTTCATCCTTGTTAATGATATCCTGTACTAAAGATTCTGCGCTCGCAAGAAGCCTCAGATGTTGTTGCATAAATTGAGACACACCCACATGCATCAATATGAGTGCACCGCTGTCCCTGCCATCTCACACAAACACACACACACACACACACACACACACACAGACATTAGCAGTGTTAATATATTATAGATAAACGCCCACGGTACAGTGAATATTGTTCTGTTTGCATGCGTAACTCGCACTCTGAACATACTGCTTTATACTCAGGGGACACAATTCAAATTCTGCACCAGAGATCTCATCTGGGGAGGCTTAATCTCACACTCTCTCTCTCTCTCTCTCTCTCTCTGTCTCTCTCTCTCTCACTTTCTTTCATATCCCTCCTTATCTCCACCCTCAATCCCTCCCACCCTGCCTGCTCTCCCCCTCCCTCTCCCTTCTCCCTCTCTGCTGTGGCCGAAGGACGGGTAAGGAAGCCGGAGTATGTGGATGGCTCTTCCAATGCGAGAGAACCTCTTGTCTTTGCCTCGTGCCGTGGCAAGGCAGACCACAGAGGTGAGAATGGGAGCGTGTGGGCGTGTGTTGAGCATCATGTCTGTTTTTCCAGGTATTGATCAGGCGGGCTGAATGAGAATGAATGTGGTAGAGGTGAGGGGGAGAATGACTGATGAGATACAGGGAAAAGTGAGCGTGTGGTTGTGTTTTAATAACATCTGAAAGAAGCTTTGCATTAAGTTTTTGTCTTTCAGGTATCCGTATAGAGATAGTGATGTCTGTGTTATCCTCAGTGTGTCATTGAAAGAGGGTTTGTGTTATCACAGTTTGTCCTGAGTCTTTCCCCTGATTTGCCTGTGTGTTGTTCCCACAGTTCAGGTTTGATTAATTAAAGGAAACATGGTGTGAATATTTACATCTCCAGCAGCTTTCCTTGTGTTTTTGACCAAAGGGCTACCCTTAGGCTTAACAGATTTATATGAGGCTTCTTCAATCCTGGTTGCCAGGCACCTCTCAGCTTCCCGTTTCCAATAGCAACTGCTAGGTGGTTTGATGAATAGTACTGGACATTCAGTATGTCCTCATGTTACTCCAGATTGGATCACAGTGCTCTGCCTACTAAATGCAAAGTTTTCTCTCCTCCCCCTCTTGCAAATACACATCCACCCCGTCTACCCACCGACTCTTCACATTCTTTTTTTTTCAATCTGAAGTGAAAAGTTATTAAAGGCTAGAGCTGGAGCGCTTTATGGAACAATTATTACCGAGCTTCCCTCTCAAAGTGGACCTTGATCCTCTCAAAGCTCAAGTTTAAATACACTTGGGTTAAACGCAACATGAAGTGATGCGGTTTCTTTTCAAAAAGAGAGCGTGAGCCAGCAAGACAGAAAAAAAAATCTGTGGAGGGAGTGCTAGATGAATGTGATATCTAAACGCAAAGATGCTTGTGAGGAGGGGTGAGCTGTTCCTGCTATCCATGATGTGCTGTCATCTTGTTGATATGCCTACTCATTATTCATGTTCCTCAGTTGATAGCTGTACATAGGTAAGGTGTGAGAACAGAGGAATGTATTTGCGCTTGCGATGTAAAAGCTGTTAGAAGCCTTACTCTGCAGATATGTGCATGGACCTTTAGAGGAGCTGGGGTTGAGGGGTCAAAGCATCAGGGAGCCTTAAAGAGTGATAAATGAATGCAGCACATGGCCAGTGTCAGCCAATCTCTCCAGGAGAAACAACGTAGGCAGAGCTGAGGCACTCCTTCACACTGTTCCACAGTTGACACGAAGCTCATTGAAATTCACAGCCCGTCTTTAACCGAGAGCACCTGGCAGGCGTGTGCGCAGGCAAACTCACAACCTCACACAACCTCTTGCTGCTGCCTCAACCAGGGACTGGAAAGCCACAGTCTGTGCATCCGTAATCAGGGCAGCTGGGGCTGTGCTGACCTGTGGATGCACACATTTTCCTGCAGTCCGCTTGCTGCTTGCTGGGTGGGAACGTCAGGAGCGGTCTGAGCCGAAACGAGAGCATCAGTTTGACGACGGTCTCATCTGGCCGTCCGGGTTTCCATTTGCTTGTTAATGCATGTATCCTGATTGTGTGTGTCTTACAGACCTCCACGTGGAGCCCCATTCGGGCTCCTCCCTTTCTACCCAGGAACTGATGACCAGACTATGCTTCTTATTGGGAGAAGCAACGCCTGGCACTGCTAGCTCTCCTATGGAGGACAGGAGGGAAAAGAAGGTAGGGCAGCGTATTGATTTACTGGCCCTTTGCTGTCTTATAAAAATGTGATGGATGGTTTACAACCTTCAACCTTCTTCTTTTACGCCAAACAGTGACACCATAAACTTAATTTGTTCTAAAAGCATTTAGACATTAGGATTAGTTGATAGTTTTATTACAATGTCGTAATGTGAAATGAAAGTATGCATTTCATACGCTGTTTGATAAATGCACTCAAATCCTATTTGGAAAAATGGATCAATATCTTGAAGCATCATTATTTGTGCTGCTGTGCTTCTCCAGTCCTGTGTTTTTTTAAACTCTATCTAAGCTTACACTATCTGTATTACAGTTATTGGATGTGCTTATGTCTCTCCATCTCTATGTCGTTGTGTTGCTCAGCCTTGGCCCATTTTCTCAGCCTCATTCCACCACCTGAGCTCCAGATTCACTCAGTTTCGCAGCGATAGCGCGGCTCATATGAGGAATGTGGGTTGTCCTGGCTAAGATAGATGAGGCTCTGGTATAAAGGGAATAACAGTGAGCTGCTTCAACTCTGCTGCCTGGTCTGCTACAGTATCTATCTGCCTTGCAGAAACGTTGCATCAGTAATGAGGAGACCTAAGAGGCACGTGAACAAAACTACAAGGATAAGAATAAAAGTAAAAGCTTGCCTTGTTTTCCTCGAAAAAGATCTCCACATATTAATCAATATTCTGTTAAAAGGTTTACTCTCCTCTGAACATTTCACACAGATCCTTTACTGCTGCTTTTTTAAATAAGTGCCGATGACAGCAATTTTGGCAGTGAGCTCAAATATTTTTAAAGATCAGTGAAAATAAATCATATTTAGGAGACAAGTTTAAACACTTACATTAATATTGCTATAACATATAACTAAGAAGAAACTAATACAGAATATCACAAGATAACCATAAACTTCAACATCACATAACACTAGGAATCCCTTTTTACAGTTCAAACTAAAATATGATATAATAAGCTCTATAATAAAATACTTATTGCAGTGGTACTAAAGGTTCAAATATACAGTATATTGTGTGGATGTACTCATTATTCTACATTATGTAATGTTAATATTTTCTTTATTTTTGAAAAAATGATTTTATAGACTCATTTCCATTTCAAGTAGAAGGTACTCCTCAGATAGAGCCGTGATGGCTGTTTGAAAATGATCTTCTTTTTTTTCCATCTGACTGGCTCTCTTTGTACTCTCCTCCACCCATGATGACTTATTGTGCTCAGAATCCGTTTGTATTTTTGCTTTGCTGTAGAGCATTCCTTGCTGTTGCTATGCAAAAGGAACTGAAGCACAAATTCTAATGCAGTAACATGAACTGCAGTGGTACTTTTACCAAATATCAGATACTGAGAACTTACAATGTTACAATTCACTTAGAAGACACTTTTATGCAAAGCGACGTACATCAGAGAGTAAGTACAACACTAATCCAGTCATACACCGCCACCCAAGCAGCGGGAGCAATGCAGAGTTAAGTGTCTTGCCCAAGGACACGTCGGACCCAGCTAGGGATCAAACCCTCGACCTTTCGGTTGAAAGGTGATGACTCTACCAACTGAGCCACAGCCGCCCCACAACTTACATAATATATTTTGGTAGGTGTGTAATTTAGACTGGTACGCTCATTTGCCATTCTAATACTGGGTTGATTGGGTTGTTCATATTTAAACTGCCTGGCTCCTTTGATTAAAGTTCACATTAAATTGTTGTCATTGCCCGGTGACAAACAGAAAAATGTGTTTGTATTGGTTACGTTGAACCATAGATGATGTCTGCAGCGAGTTTCAAACACAGTGAGCAGTTATTATGAAAAATGGGGGAAAATGAGAGCCAGCATGAAAATCACTAGAATTATCCTTTCATTTCCTATCTGTGTGCACACACAAACACACTCAGTCACATGACAAAGGCAAACGTTATCATGCACACTGGTGTACTGATTATTTTTCGGAATTAACTACTGTTCAAAACAAAGAAATATTACATGCAGTAGATAAAATGTCTCACTTCATATCATAACTATATGTCCCTTTAACCTCCTTGGTATTATGTATCAATGTATGTTTCTGCTCTCTCTTCCTCAGTGTGATTCCTCCGCTCAGGGGGGGAGTCCAAGCTCCACTCTGACCTGCAGCACCGCCTCCCCCTGCTCAGAGAGCCCCTCTTCCACCCTGAGCCACAGTGCAGGGGGCCAGCCTCTGTACCAGCCCTTACCGTTACCTTCACCGCACTGCAGCTCCAACACCAGCCCCAGTGGAACGCTCTCCCACCCTGTGCCCAGCCCCGCCCCTGGTTCTGCTCCTGGATTCATCACCGGGAACAGCCCTGGGCTTCCTTCTCATAGCCCGACCTCCACCCTGGAGAGCAAAGACAGTGGAATCATAGGTGAGAGTTGTTGCTTTGTATCTGCTGGAAATCCTGGGCATGTTACAAATGATTTAAATCCACGTTGTAGAGTTTCAGATTTGTTTTTTCTGCTAGATGAAGCATGTCCAAAACAAAAGCCTAGCCATGCATTCACTAGAAAAAAGAAACTAAACTGCCTATTTAATTCTGTATGGAATCGGCTGCCTTATCAGAAATCCCAAATATGACTGATGTCTCTATAGTGATACATCGTGATAGAAAGTTGGATGCAACATCAATTAGTTGTAAGTCCTTGTGTACCATTACCCCACAGCTAGTTTCTCTTTGTCGCCTGTGCCACTTGAGCCTTGAGGCTTCAGCTCCCTCCTGTCAAAACTGGGACACTGCTGTCTTTGTTGCTTATGGGTCTGATTCTCTTAAAATAGGACACTTTTTTCTCTCTAAATAGAGATTGTATTTATAGTTAAATACAAAAGGGCAAAGAGCACATCAAATACAGTAAAGCTGGTTGATTGATGAGTTTGGTGTGTTTGGCTGGAAAAACAGCTTGTTGTATTTTATAGCTCATTAAGTCATTTTTTTTTTAAGTTGAAGGCAATAATTATTTTGGATTAATTTCAAGTGATGAGAAAATGCAAGTGAGCAGTTGCCTACCATATGTTCTCCTTTAGAAGTATGATTTAGTTTTCAGCTCTTGGCTGCCTACGTCACCCATATTTTCTTTGTGCATCTCAGCAACCATCACTAGTTCCTCTGAGAATGAGGAGCGCAGTGCCTCCTGTGAGGTCCAGACCAAGGATGAAGGCTTGGACGGCATGGTGGAACATGCAAGCAAAGACCGCCACCCCGGGCTAACAAGGGACACTCTGACCGCCAAACAAAATGAGGCCTTACCTAGGACTGACATCATGGAGCCCAGGACTCCCCCGGCTCCGAAAAGACCCCTCCCACAGCACCATATACACAGCACCTCCTCCCTTGTGATGCCCCGACCAAATTCTGTGGCAGGTATGTACACCTTTTGTGTTCACCTGTTATTCCAAGGCTATATATGAACCTGGAGACCAATTTGTGTGTTCCTTCTTCTAGTGTAGCATTTCTGAGATTGCAACTCGGTGTCTACTGCTGACTGGGACAAAAGAAACAGAAAGTTGGATTGAAGACATAGACTTATGCCCCCAGTTACTGGTGAAGATTCTTTAATCAGGCGATATTAAAAGTGTTTACATTTGACTTTATAGACACTGGTTACAACGACAATCACGTTCCATAATGGAGAAATAGACTTGACCATCTACTGTACCAAATATTTGTGATGAAGTACCGTGTAATGCAACGTTATTCTCTTTCATAGTATTTGTTTCTATGTCTCACTATGGGATACACCCCTCACATATATTCACAAAAGCTCTATACCACTACGCCAGCCCTGAGTGGCTGGCAGTCGTGACATCACCGTCAGGTCCCCCTCTCTGTATTTAACCCTGATGCAGCAACACTCATCATTCAATTCTATTAACTAGTTAACTTAATCAATTAACTGCTGAATTTAATCATCAACGACTCGTTGCAATGAAAAATATGTTTTTATAGATATTAGTTTAAGCACATACTTTCTTCTTTTTTTTGCTAACTGCTCTGCAATAATTACATGCAGCACTTATTTGATTATACTAGCTACCAGTAGAGGCGATATATATGCAAAATGATTTCATTTATCCCCTGCAAATGAACAACTAATTGCCATGTCGCAGAAATGACTGTAATGTTTTCTGATTGATAATATAATAATTTTAACATTTTTGATCCACCTCTAGAGAATGTCTTAGTACTCTGTGCAGCCAGTGAATCCTGTGTCCTGTCTCATACAGATGGACCCCTTGTTCAGTAAAGGCCTGTGAATTGTGCAGTCAGTTTACTACCTAAGTAAAAGTTTGACTGTTTGAGACGAGGTCTTGTCAATGTCCTTTACATCTTTGTCAAAAACAAAGTAAGAGTAAAAGAAGATGGTTCACTTATTAGGATTAATTGCATTCAAGTGTGCAGCTGCTGTAGGGAAACACTATCTCATTAATGGTGCCTTCCTGTAATGTCCAGTATGTGTCTTTAGGAACAACTTAACATTGAGTAATATGCTTGATGATTAGAGTTTGATGAAGGATGGATACAACCCTCATAGCTGGCTATTTTACTAACTATCCTTAGCATAAGAACTTGAAACACGGGGAGTCAGCAAGCCCGGCTCCCTCTAAAGGATGAAAAATCGGCGTACCGGCTCCTCTAAAGCTCACTAATGAACTCCTTATTACTCCTGGAGTTTTATCGTCACCTCCAGGTTGTCAGACATGCAGGAAGTCACTGCTCTCTGCCAGGAAGTATAACCATACAAAACCCCCAAAGAATCACAGCGTGTTGCTTTTTACAATTCCTTTTTTTTTGTACCATTAAAAATCAAACAAGACACAATGTGCTCATTATTTAGCTAGTGATAGTGTTGCTAAGCTTCCATTATTTTGTATATGAAGTGCGTTAATGAGAGTATGAATGTGACAGATGTGACTTGTGTGTTTTAAATAGACTAGAATATTGACTGAATGACAAACTGATTGAATTGATTGTTAACTCCTCTGTTCATCTGACGCAGAGACGGGATAATATATAAGATCTCTATGTGAGGCAAAAATAAACTTCATTGCACCGTGTGTTGGTGCTCTACTTACCACCAAAGCTGTATCCACACAGTGAGCAGTACCAGTTAAATGTCCTGGGAGGCCTCCAGTTGTCATAAAAATACCCCCTCCCTCCCTCCCTCCCTCCCTTTTCCAGTCACGATCTTTGCTAGTGCACAACGCTCTTTTTCTTCCCTTAGATGTCAGTTCATTTGTGGTTGAAGCAAAGGGAAAGATTCCCTAAGGAGTGGATTCACAGTAACGCCTGCCAGTTTCTTCTGTCAGCTGGTGCTTTCATTTAGGCACTCTTGATGAAATTCAGAATAAAGATGAGGCGGGCCACGTAGTATCTAGCCACAAAAATTGGACTCCACAATCATGAAACATTAGAGAGAGTGATGGGACTGTATGTATACGTATTATCATAAACATTAAAAGACTAGAGCTAAAAATACACCTAATTATTCCCAGATGGTAAAGTTGTTATATTGTCTAAGTAGAAGCGAGAATTAAAAGATGCACTGCACATATTTACACAAAGACAATCTTATACATTGTATGAAGTAGGAATACAAAAGAGACTCTTCTAGACAGTTTGTAAAGTCAGGTTTCCTGCGTTAATGCCTCTCTAGTGGGCCGAGACAGAGGCCATTTTTTGCAGGAAGCTTTGTACTGTAGGATAGCTGTCAGAAGAAGGAGTTTTCTCTCTCTTTGAGAACAATTCAGACACTGAAGAAGTGTAGGGCGGCATCAACATTGGATGTGATGATAACGGTTGTCTATTTTTCTGATATGTAAATCTGTGAGGGGTTCACTAGGGGTCCTAAGAATGCTGCCGTAGCAGCCTGTTAAAGGTCTCATTATGTGAAAGGTCACTGCCACTGTAAGGGCACTAGAGCATCCCGTTTTTGGATAATGTTATGTTGCAAATGTTTTTTCCGCAGTGCAGGGACCATCTGTAGATTCAGTTCAAAAGAGGTAGTACTGTACCTTTTGAAATATACACTTGCTCCCTTTTAGGATACAGAATGAGAAGATCTATATAAGTCTTAAATGAAAGGCCAGCAGACAGTGAGCTTAGCATAAGGAATAAAGACTGGAGACATGGGGGAAATAGTTAGCCTGGCTCTGTCCAAAGGTAACAGAATCTGCTTACAAGCACTTAGAAGCTTGATCCAAAGGCGACTGGGATTGGTTGAAGATCTTCAAGATCAAGAGCTTCAAGATCTTCAACCAAGTCCAGTTTCCTTTGGATCGAGCTTCGAATTACCATGACTTGGACGACTGAGAACCTACACAGACTGCACACAAGCACATTTAAAGTTTTTAAATGAACACGTAATGTATTATTATTATTTTTTATCAGTTTGTCAAATGTTTTAGTGTAAGAGCAGCAGGTTAGCTTTCTACTGGGGTTGTTTGACTATAATTTGAAAATGACTGGTGTAGAACTCAACCTTGAAACCACAACTTGTTTCTCTTTACACTCTGGTTTTTGGCGCGGACTACACAAACAGTATAATTTATACAAGGGAGCTAGTCAAACTGTTCTTGGTCCCCTCGGAAGGAGTCGGACTTGTTTGTGTTTTTGCTGTTTTTTTGCCTTTGTGCAGAGCTAAGCTAGCCTGATGTTAGCTATAGCATATGGAGAGACCTTACAGTGCTCTTGATCTTCTAATTACTGTAACTTTCTGGTAATGAGCAATATTTGTGGTAATCTAGATTATGTGAGAGGGGTTGTGTGGAATCTAAAGGGTTTGGGGGCAGATGTTATCATGGTTGTCGCCGCCTTGGTCAAGTCCATCTTTGACTTTTAAAGAAATTAAGTATCAGCAGTCGATGGTTTGCCAGGAGTTGAGGGGTGAGCTGTCCAAGTGTCCCTGTGTAAAACCGGCCGGGGGGAAAAAACATGTTTTTTGACTCTACCACTGTCTACTTGAGCCACTCATCCATTTGGCCTGGCTGTCTTTAGCCAGCAGTTCTTCTCATCCCACTCCACACCTCCTTCACACTGTTTTCGCTGCAGACTGTTCTTCATTCTCTCACTGTGGTGTTCTTTCAATCGTCAATCCTCCACTTCAGCTCTTGCTTGACAATCACTGAAATTTCATCCCTTGTCCCCCCAGTCCCAAAGGCCCTCTTCTCCCTGTTGAAAGGGGTTTTCTTGTGCTCACTGTTCCAGACTTCATTATTTGCTGGTCCTGAATCTATTTTCTTTGAGCCTAATTGGGATGTTCATGCTGTGATTGATTTGTCTTGCATCAGAGACACACTCATTGCCCACTGGGTGATCCACAGAGAAGGTTGCATGATCTCTTTGTGGCCCTGTAAATTATTACATTGCCTCAGTAGCCTTCCCCCCACACTCTCACTCTCACTCTGCTGCTGCTGTAGGGTGATGGACACATGCTGGGATTCTACATGTGTCAGAATCTGATCTGATCAAGCGCTGGAGGGATGGTTGAACTCGATGAATCCTTATCATTTGCTGAAGGAAGTTCAGTGTGTCTTTTTTCTGAAAAAGAGTGAATAATATTCCAATATATATTTTAATAAACCTGTGTAGTAGGTTAAGAGAGTATACCATCTGCATGCAGACTGATTTGGTGATTTATCAAAACAAAAATGCTTAAAGATATTACAGGCCAGCATCTTTAAGCTTGACCGTAATTCGTACTTTAGAGCTTTAAGCCCATAACAGTTCAGCGACGTTGTGAAGCTCAGTCAGATGCTCTGAGATTAACGTTGTCTGCATTTGACATTGACAAGGCGTGATTAAAGGTAGGCTGTGTCAGTTCATCATCCGTCTGTTTACTGTATATTTCTCCTTCAAGACTGGTCGTCTTACTATGATTTATAGATAAGTGCAACGTGACTCAGACCTTTTTTTTTTTTCATCCCACTCTGAAGGGATTAGTGGCAGCAGTAATGCCAGATTTTCAGATTTAGAAAAAGGATTTTTTTTTTTTATGTTACAACGGGTGAATGAAATTGACCAATTTCTGACTCATCGCAGAAAGAAAGAAAAGTTTTTGTGTGTATGGTACTCGTTCTAATGTTTCCATTCTATTCATCTAGATGAATCTTTTCAGACTTAAAATGCCAATAAGAGCCGAACAAATTAGAAAACCTGTGTCATTACAACCTCAGACGTCCAAACAATAAGAAACACTCATGGAAGCAGTCACTGTAATCTAGTTAGCTGCTCCTCTGCCTGGAACCACCTGAATGAGACTCCTCTTCATTAACACAGAAAAAGAGAACCAGAGAACTAAAACCTTATTAAAAAAGAGTTTTTAACATTGATTCCTAAGACAAGATAAGCATTTATCCAAGAATAACAGTTTACTCTACAAACCTTAATCTGAGGAGAAGTCCTTGTAAATTACAATAAGTAAAGAAAAATCCAACTTTCCCAGACTTTCAGATATGACGTAATGTTTCAGGGGAGTAAATCATTTCTATTTTTGAACATTTTATTTTCGTCACTGTTTTGTCTCCCAGGTAAATCCTGGCAGTGATTTTAAAAAAAAGAGGAAAACGGCCAAAGCAACAACAAGACATTACATTTGATGAAAGTCAAATGAAATGAAGAGCAATTAATTAGCCTCGACTCAAATTCTCACTTTGTAGTTTTGTTGAAACTACTTTACTTCACTTGTTATGTATTAAGACGGCTTTTTCTGTTTGGAGTCTGTTTGCTGTAAGAGTGTAGCACTGCAAGATGCAGATAAATGTCTCTAATCATTTGTCCACAAAAACGTTACAATCACTTCATAATGCAGTGCAATCAAATACAAAACCAGCAGAAAGTAAAGTCTCTGACAAAACAAAAGAGTTGGATCCACACTCTCTGACACAGTGTCAACAACGATACAAATTTGCAAAAATATGATGGTCTATGGATGGTCTATAGATTGTATTTCACTGCACAAAGCCCTATGTTTGATGTTAGTGTGTTTTCCTGCATACTGGTGGGTGCCAGTGGTCTAGTGGTTAGTTTGTGCGCCCCATGTACAGAGGCTGCAGCCCTAAAGCGAGCAGCCTCTGTCCACTGTCCTCTCACTATGATAAAGGCATAAAAAGAAGCCCCCAAAACAAATCTTAATAAACAAACTACATTATTGATTTGTTAAATTTAAGAACCAGCTGATTAAAAATAAGTTCTGTCTTTATTTTTTGCTATAGCCTCATCTTTTTCTTCTAAATGTCTTGAAAATGCAGAAAGTAAGCTTGGCTGACCTGTAAACTCTCCAGTGTGAGTGGGTGGATAGATAGGCCGACGTGGGAGTAAACAACTCTTTCTTTCTGTTTCTTGACCTTCTGTCCGACATGTTCTTCATTGTATTTATCATTTTGGTTTTTCTTTTGTGGCTCGTTTGGTCATTAGAATTGTGTGTGTAATCCTGCAACGCACATTAATGCATTACAGTTGGCGATGTGTTTCTAGTGATTATCACGAATTGGGTGCCCTGGTGTGTGAGACGCTATGAAACATTTGGTAATTTCAGACTCTTGTTAGTTTGAGATTACAGAGCTGTGAGATGAGTTTTCTTTCCTCCCTCTTCTTCTCAAGGTCGATGAACATTTATCTTTGAGTGCAACAACTGTTTGTGTCCTGCGTCTCCATGGAGACAATAATTGACTCAAGCAGTGAATTTGACACTTGTGTGGTGCATGTGTATCTTTGCACATTTCCTGCATCTCTCTCACACCCTCAATCCATTCCTAACACACTGTTGTTGCTTCTTTTTCCTTTTTTCTTTTTTTTTTACAGCAACCAGCTCCACTCGCCTGGAGGATTTGGGTTTTCTGGAGACCCAAAGGGCCGCTGGACACAGGAGCTCTGTTCGTAAACACAACACAGCTGGACGCACAATTGATGACTCCAAAGGTATTTTGTGGCCTTAACTTAGGGGGAAGTCTGTGTTTAAATGTAGATTTTACGAAACATTGTATAATGCACCTCCGACATCACTGCTTAATTATATAATACCATACCATACCATACTATATGATACCATACGACACCAAAGAATACTATATATATATGATGGACTTTATTGTCCCCTTAGCAAAATTTGTCTTGATTCAAAGGGCTGCTCACATTTAGCTGCCTCCTCAGAGTGTAAACATTGATCCCTTCTCATATCCTCTACAGGTCGATTGGTGCCATTCAAACAATCCGACATCATGCTAAAACCGTTGCTCTTTGAAGTCCCCGGCATCACAGCAGAAACACCTTTCGTCGGGCGGGATTGGCTCTTCACACGCTTGGAAGAGGTCCTGAGGAAAACGAGCAGCTGTGAGGGCCGCGGCGCTGTCATTGTAGGTAATGCAGGATCTGGGAAGACGGCTATCATCTGGCGGCTGGTGACGCTCAGCTGCCATGGCATGCGCACGCCTCAGGGAGGTCCCAGCATCCCTCACAGTCCCAGCTCCTCCCCCAAATGTAAGACTATCTATCTTTACTCACAGCAGAGTCATTTGTGTTTGTTCACATGTCAAAGCATTCGCTTAAGAAACACAGAGAACTGCTAGAAGCTGAATTCATACATCCTCTGGAGTTTTCCAGCAAAGTTAGATTCTTGTAAGATATCGGGAGAAATATCACTTTTAGGGAAGGGGTTGGTATCTGGGTCACACACTCCTCTTCCAAGTTCTCCCCTGAGGTTTCTCGGCTGATTGCAGTTGTATAAGGGGACAGAGATTGTTGTTTTTTCCCCTTTCTCACCATGAGTGACACAGAAACTCTTTTTTTCTCTTCTTAAGATAGAGAAAACAATCTCTCATCCAACCAGATGTTTTATGTTCAGCTATAAATGGATGTTTATGCTGTTGCATGCTTATGTTTTGTACAATTTGTGATAAGTGTGAAGAATAGAAACTGAAAATATAGAATAAATACCGTATTACAGCTTTTTCCTGTTGTGAGGTGCAGACAAAGCGAAAATAAAATAGTGCTCAGAAGCAACATAGTTCATATTCATTTTCAGCATGGCTGCACCATTCAACAATATTTGTGCTGTATGTTTTCATATTGAGTGTAACACGAGGTGTTTAGGCATTGAAACAAACACTGACTGCCGTGTGGTGTATCTTAACGCTTAGTTTCCAGTCTTGCTTACAGATGCGCTAATTAAGCAGCAGTTTAATTGTGTTCCTTCATAGACTTCACTGCTGACATTCCTGAGCTCACACCAGAGACTTCATCCAACGGTGTAAATGGCAGCTTTGCGTTTGTTGTTGTTGCTCTGCGCTCTGTTCAGGTGGGGATAAGCAGGGAAAATCTGCCTCCAAACAGCCAGCCGACTCTCAGCCCAACCAGAGTGCTGTCGCAGGAACAAGCGATTGTACGGCACAGAGGAAGGAGGCTGTCAGATGCCTGGCTGCCAAGGTAGCGCAGAACACAAACATTTGTATTTCCATCCTTGTGAGGACCCTTGATTACAAAATTGCTCTCTCTTGCCTTGACATTTTCGGAAATTGATTTTCTTTTTTTTTTTTATAGAGAGTGTAGGTGACCATTAAATGAAGGCTTAGCTCGGCGCTCTAATGATTCCCTCGCTCCAATACCACACCAAAAACTCCATTGGACCACTTGGTAAAAGTTGAACTGTTGTACAGAACCATCTAAAGAAAAAAAAAACGTTTTAAAAGTTATCTTAAAGTAATGCGGAAGAGAGGTAAAAAAACTAGACTCCTCTACTGGTCTGATTGCAGCTATTACCCCAAACTCAATGCTCTCCTAAGAGAGAAGTAACTTGAAGGTGCAGTTACTAGAAAAAAAAACAAAAGAATGATCAAATAACTTCCTTTTTGCAAGTATTGCACACATTAGATATAATATGTTAGTAAGCTATTAGTGAGCCTAAAAGGGACTAGTTTTTTTGTTTGTTTTGTTTTTTAAACTTTGATGGCCTTTCTGGTCGTTGCAAAAGCTGCTTGGGTTGTGAAATTAAAATTCCCTGTTGATCCTAACAAAACATCTATAGTACACACACATAAACACACAACACACCTGTGTAGAGTCGTATTATTTATCCTGTTGCTGAAACAGATCGCTGACTCACAGTTTGCAGTGGAATGCCCTGAGATTTAACTTCTTATCTTTAGATTTCCAGGCACTTCTCCATTCAAATGTGTGAGTGTAGCATCGTAATGCAGCATGATAAACACAACTGCAGGGTACTATTAACGTAACAAGACTTCTGAAAGGCTGACAAGGGATCAATTCAAAGAGATAAACACACACCAATGTTGTTGTTTTTTATGAGCTATGGGGCTGCACATTAGTGGCACTCACAGATTTTAAATGTCACAGGGCTCTCTCTCTCTCTCTCTCTCTCTCTCTTTTAGCACATGCAGAACATGCTGCTGATTGCATCACATAGATGACATGCAAGCTTCTAAATTTACTAACTTGGCCTCGATAAGAGTTTCCATGGGAACTAGTTAGACTACTTGTGGTGGTGCGGATATGAGATCAAAAGTAAAGTCATTGATAGACCAATTATGGAGACCACACAGGGTCAAAGCTGGGACCAATAAAAGCCCTTTACAAAGGGAATACTACTGAACAGTAGAGTCCATCTCTGCACAAAAACACACTTAGAGTTGGTAGATAAGTACAATAGCTCTTCCAGGAAGGCAGTTGTCATTTATGTCAATGTTAACTGAAAGAATAATTAGCCATATGATCGGTGACATATTTCATTTCTCAGACTCTTGCTCACCCTTTGGCTTGCTGCCTGAATAAACCAACTTCTATTTACTTAATGTGTTTTAGAGACACTCTGCAAACTCTGTAGTTTGTCAAGTGAAGCTTCTATTGTTCAATGTCATGAGCAGAATCTTATGACTCATCTACCGCTGTGGTTTCTGCAGGTTTCCGTGTTTATATCTTGGTTTTTTTTTGTGGTAACTGGGCTTGTGTTTCTTATTGTGCGATATCAGTCTTACACATATTTCTTTACATTATGTGGTGAAGTGAACGGATAGCATTCTAATAGTGTCTGAATGTGTGCAGTTATGTTTACTCCCAATGGCTTCAATTTAATATTCAGGCATTTTGCAAGGTTGTTTTAGGCTTGATAACTTTTCACCATTTTCCTCCAAATTGTTGAAGTCTGCATTTCAACGTGGGCGACTTGATAGTAGATACAAAACCAGGAGTTTCAACAGTGCATGCAAAATGACCAAGAGAGTGTTGTAGATTTGTCTTTCTCACTGTTTCTCACAGATATTTAACATTCATGTAGGGGTCCTTCCAACTCAAGTTTCAAAAAGAAAAATCGTGCATCATGCAGCTTCAAACGTCCTTCTCTATTCTCACCTGTACCATACACAGCTTTACAGATATAGATACATTTGTGGAATGAACAGATGCAAATCGCATTTTTTAAGTATTTTATCCCCCAAGTCTTTAACCTTTGTTTTTCTCCTGGCAGGTGGTTGCCTATCACTTCTGTCAGGCTGACAACACTTACACCTGCCTGGTTCCTGAGTTTGTCCACAGTATCGCCGCCCTGTTGGCCAGAGCACCACAGCTCACCCCGTACAGGGAGCTGCTGGTACAAGAGCCTCACCTACAAAACACACTCAGCCTTCGATCCTGCGTTCAAGACCCCCTGGCTGCCTTTCGCAAGGGAATCCTAGAGCCCCTAGCAAGCCTGCGAAAGGGTAATGAGCTCTCAACACACATCAACGTGAAGACAAATGTGATATTTAACTTTAAAGACCTTTTAAATTTTAAAATACTATCAGTTTTAAAGGGAAAAACTGTCTGCTTCCCTCGCCCTGCAATCAGGGAGCCGTCCGCCATCTCCTGTGTGAAATAGCCCATTAATGACTTCATGATGGCCCCGTAGATGACGTTTCCGAGTTAAGGTCGCTGATTTGTAGAGTGTAGCGTGTGAAGCAGATGTTAGGTCATTTACGTAGGGAAATGATGAGTGTTATTTTTGCCCTGGTGAATCAGCTGCAGCCCACAGGATTTCAAGGTCACAACATACTCCAGAGAGGTTGTGAATGTTGCAAATTAGTCAGCTTAGTTTCTCATGATACAGTCAGTCGCCTAGATTGATGTGTTATTATGGCCAGGCACTCCACTGTCTGAGTAGAGAAGTGTTTTGTCTACTCCATCACTATTAAGCAGGTTAGAAAAAAATGGAGAGCCCTTGTACCTGAGTGTATGAGTCCTCCCAGGCCGGCAGGGCTGCATTGACAGTTTAGAATATGTGAAACATGATGGATATGTCCTGTTATAAGCTAATAAACAACTATGGCCTCTGGCCTCTTTCAGCACAGTGTAATCAACTTGACCAGTTGGGGCTCGCGAATCGCGAATGCATGTCTCGCAAAACAAACATGAACCCAATTTTAACCAATAAAAAAAGCTTTTTATGAATCTATCATACCATCTTGTTCCTTATTATGTGCTCTCAATGCTAATCTGATAAATCTGGTCTTGTAATGTGTTTATCCTCCTCTTCTCTCTGTTGTTTGCTTTATGTGTATTCAGAGCATAGGCTACCTGATGAAGACTACATCATACTGGTTGACAGTCTTAATGAGGCAGAATTTCACAAACCAGACTACGGGGACACCATCGCCACTTTCATTACAAAGATCATCTCCAAGTTTCCAATCTGGCTCAAGCTGGTGGTCACAGTCAGGACAGGCCTGGTGGTGAGTAAGATGTCAATACGTTTTGTATTATCTTACATAAAACTAGTGGTATGTAAACCTCCAGCCCAAAAAAAGCATGAAGGTGACTGGGATTTTTTCACATAATATACCAAGTAAAGCAGCAAATATTTGTCAAAACAGACTACAATCAAAAACATACTTGGGCAGATAATCAGCATATAACTGTGTGTGAATGTTTACCTATCTATACAGAACGGTTACCTGTATATAAAGTGATGTTAGTCCCTTGATGTGCTGAAGACCAATACAAGATTTAATTGTTACTCATCCATTCAATTCAAACTAAAACTGCATGAAATACAGCTTCTTTTTGTTAAATGTATTCTTTCATACAAACAGTAGGTACCTCCTCTTGATTACTCACTCAAAGTTTTATATATTCTAATTTATTAAGTTTGTCTATTTTTATTTAGTTTGAATGTTGTTGTCTACTTTTGTCTTTATCTCTGTTTGTTGTAGCTTTGGTCTTAGGTCATCATTGAGTTTTATTGTATCACATTTAGTTTATTGTTCTTTTTTAGGACTTTTTTCTCACAATAATGAAACAAAATAACTGAAACGGCTCTTTTAGTTCATAATATTCGCTAACATTTTGCCAATGTGCCCCTTGCAAGTTCAGATGTGCGGTGATGTGAAGTTCAGATCACTTATAGTTGGTTCAAATTAATTGTTTTATGGACGTCTACTTGATTTCTGGTTTTAACTTGATGGACTGGAGTATTTATGTATTTAATGCTTTTAGGTTGTTCCTAGTGTTTGAGTCTTTGTCCTTGTGATTTCTATATGTTAAGTGTTTTCACCTGGCTGCAAAAAATAAAGTCCCCTTGGGGTCATTGAAGTTGATCTTGAGCCTCAAAACTAGATAAGCAGTCATAAAATGTTGGAGTATGGGCAGAAATAGCAAAAGAGGTAAGAAATATTGACCTTGTGTTATAGGTTAATCAACTCTCTAAGTTTTATCATGTCTCATATTACATGTATATACATACATACATCACAAGGACATAACCTTCTCTCTTTGGTTTTAGCTTTGCCCTCTGCAAACACACTGTAGATTAAGGCTGTACTTTTACAGCCATGCTATAGACATTATTGCACTTGGCAGCTTGGCTCTCTCTAGTCTGATGTATTTTCTCAATCTGGTTGGTAATCCCAACAAACAGCGGATGCATCTGTCCAACGCCAAGCCTCCAAATGCCGCATGGATTACACCCTGAATGGATGGTAATACTACTGGGACACTGCTGGGAGTCTGGAGCTTGACAGGCAGCCAGCCGGTTACATAACTTGATAAGTGTTTGGGAATACACAAAACACATTTGGGGTCATTTTCTTCGTGATAAATTAGAAGTCAGCGAGCATTAAATACCGATATTTAAAGATGAAGAGTACAGCTATAATTGAACCCTCTGAGGACCCGAGCTTTCTGATTGGATCATTAGTCACCCTTTCCATTTTAAACCAGCCATTTCAGAGTGTGCTTACTCTGGTATAGCAACAAGGATATTCAAGAAACTATTAAGAGGAGACCAAATGTCAACTGCATGTTGTCGAACCAAAATGTCAGTCTTGGTTAATGAGGAACTGGGCTGCATTAACATGGATCTTTTTTTTCATCAGTCATAGCTGGTTTTGGCCGGTGTTAAGCAGTCGAGGATGGTGAGAGTGGAGATGAAATGTGACTCTGAGAGATGCCTGTGAGCAATGTTTGAGCTTGAGTCATTGTCACACTATTTACTGTACTGTATCCCATGGCTCTAAATGAGTCAGAGGCAACAGCATCTAAGGAATGGGTCCTGATTTTGTAGCGTTTTATTTGTCCTTAGCGAATGCACCAGAGAAACACTACCTACCATTCTTTGAATATTGAGTCTGTGCCTTTGTGTAATGGGTGTGTTTCTCAATAAGTAACGTATACTTATCTTTCTTTCTTCTCCTGCAGGAAATCACCACCCTCCTTCCCTTCTCCGGCATCTCTCTGGACATCCTTCCAGACAGCAGTGATCTGGGAGCTGACCTCAGTGACTACATCCATCACCGGGTCAGCAGCAGTACCCAGGTTGCCACCAACGTCACCACACCAACAGGCTCAGCTCCTGATCAGCTGCTCCTCAGCAAGTTCAGTAGCCACCTTTCCACACGCAGCCACGGCTCCATCCTCTACCTGCAGCTCACCCTGGATCTGTTCCACAAGGGCCACCTGGCTCTGAAAGGAGGAAACTACCTGGTGGTGCCCGTCTCCCTGTCAGAGGTCAGACATGTAAAGCAATGAGTCCCACAAAGAAGGGAATGTTTCTTTACTTGAGGGTACCTTTGCTGTTGCCAGGTGTACGTGGGAAGAAAATCTAATTTAAACAGAAAAAATTAATAGTTGTTATGCAATAAAAGTATCCTACAGAAGTGGACATACACCCATACACTTTTTTTACTCCATTTTCCTGTCATAACCAGTAATTTCCAGTTTTTCCTCAAGATCTTGACTTATTCTTCTTGGGGGATACCTGGGGATAATAAAGCTGGTTTTCCCATTAAAATTGATTCATTTATCTCATTACCCCGATATGACAAATGCCGTGCTGCCATTACCCACTTTAATGAGCTAAGTTAGGCCTATTTCTGTATTTGTTTTGTGCTTTTGCAACTCTTGGGATACAAAATAAATAAGTCCAGACGAGAAAACAACTGGAAATGCGATACGATACACGTTATTGTCCCCTTGGGGAAATTTGTCTTGGACTCAAAGTGCTCCTTATCGCATTTAAATTGAGTAAATAAATGCATGTCCATTGTAGCTTCTGTAGTATCCACATACCTAGTCAGTTTTAACAACTTGATGTCACAGCTTACATATTCATGTGCAGTTAAACCAGGTATCAAAAAGAGATGTTAAAAACATATACATTAAAGTCATGAATTAACGGTTCAAAAGTTTTGCTTAAATTAAAGCATAGAAAAGTTAAAGCAGTTAGAAAAGTAGTTTCTAGCAGACTTTCTAGCAACTTATTGAAATAAGTTGATGTTCCTACATGAATCTTGAATCTTCCCCAGGTTTAATCCAAAGTCTGATAAAAGTGTGAGTTGAATATTGTAATGTCTAGTGGCGCAGTGGTTAGAGCGCGCGCCCAATGTGTGGAGGCTGTGTTTTCATCCAAGCGGGCGGCCCTGGGTCGAGTCCCACCTGTGGCTCCTTTCCCGCATGTCATTCCCAACCCTCTCTCCCTGATTTCCGACTCTATCCACTGTCCTATCTCTCCTTTAAAGGCACAGAAAGCCCAAAAAAATAGTCAGTGGTAGCTTAAAGAAATATAATTGAAAAAAACATGGATGAATAGTTGAAATTGCGATCTTAGTGAAGAAAATGATTGAAAGCCTTAGCTAAAACAAAGTAATGGTTAACTCTTAAAACAAGGTAGCTAACAGTGATGGATTAATTGCTGAGCTAAAGTCATTAATTACCAGTTGAAATAAAATATTATACTTCTTTTGACTTAATATTTCAACTGTTTGTCAATTTCTAAGGTAATGTAATTAGCTGAAGTGATGTATAAATAGCTTAAAGGGTTATCTTAAAAATAATCCATTCATTGTTGAAATAGTTAGATGAATGGATGGTGGAAATAGTAAACATTCATGAAAAAAATAGCTGAAATAGTGAAGTTGAGCTTAATTATAGAAGCGGCCAAAAGTTAAGGATACATCTTTGAGTAAGTGATTCATAACGTCTTCACAAAAACAAAAACACTCGGCGTACCTTGATTATAGTAAGGCCCCGCCCCCTTCTGCCTCATCTGGTCCTGTTCACAGTCCAACACTTAACACTTGTCACTCATCCTGGCGAGCTGTCTACCGTGAAATGACATCTCGCCTGAGGAAGAAGCAATCAATGTCCACAAAATCCCCACACAAGGTACACGGGCGACAACCATTGTTCAGGCATGTTTTTCTCAAGAAAAGGAGAGCGAGTCTATACTCGCACGCTTTTCAGAGCAATGAAAGATTTTAAAAATGACAGGATCAAAGACTTTATTCAATGTGCCTAAAATAGTCCACAGTGACTGAAGTAAATGACAGACACATTTTAATGTTTCATAATCATCAGTGTGAAGTAGGACAACAAACGAGCAAGTGTTATAACACTATTATGGAACTAGGAATGTGATGGTTTTGTGATCTGGAAGAGCATGCAGAAAGGTGTGCTGAAGATAGTGGGCAGTAATAGATATACAGATACAATATGGATCGTTTAGAGTAATTAACTATCCAAACAGGTTTCAAAGATGAACTCAAAATTATCCAAATTTACCAAACTTATTATGATATAGATGGAAAACATACACAAATGATTGTATTTACTTGTACACTGAAAATTGATCTCCTTTTTTATATATATGGTTGTTCTTGATATAATGAACATTTCCTGGGTTTACATGTCCTGCAGAATATTTCATGTGACCCTCAATAAAGTTATTGATAAATGTCCAGGCTTCAGATTAACTATCTATACTAGTATTCAATCAATGACATCATTCAAGTAATGGTGGAACATTGGACAAGAATAGGTTGGCCAGTTCATTTTGTTTGTCCTTGGAAGTGCATGGTTGTATTTGTCCAGATAATGTATAATATTAAAGTGTGACAACCCACACAAACCACTTGACAGAGAGTGTTCAGTGTTGGGAATTAACTTTGAAATCATATTTTAGAAATCTACACGTTACTTTAAACTGCAGCCGTGCTAGCGTAGAGACAGACCTAACTCACTCTACTCAGAGAAGCAGGTCAAACAAAAGATCCTATCAATTGAAGGCAAAAAAAGTCATTTGCAAAAAAGAACAGAAACTGAAAAAATGATAATTCCACATTCATTGAAAAGTTAAAAAAAGTTTCAACTTTGGAATGAAAACAATGTCTACCAGGCAGACACTCGACTTCAGCAAGCCTGCATGATCGCATAGTTAGTCAAGTAATGTCTGAAATAGCATGTGACAGCGACTATGAACATTTTCTGATAAAAAGAAGAGAAAAAGCATTCACAATGATGCTGTTGATTGTTTGTTAGACGTTTAAGTTGTTAACTACACAAAAATCAGCTAAAAAAAATAATTAAATTAATTCAATCTACATGTTAATATTGTGCAGTTGTATTACAACAAAGCTTGTGCAAAATGCAGTTAAACTACAAGCTTGTAACATGAAGTCTACAGCTCCCTAACACTGATTGTATATGTGATTTAATCATGTCGTTTTTTTGCTTAATTTCTTTTCCCGGTAATATTTTTAATTCCAATTAACATCCTCCTGAAGTGGATTTGCACGACTCTGCTTGATGCAAGCTACATGCACAGAACTGCTGTACATCCCAAAGCTCAAGGATCATCACTGATGAGCCAAGAAAGCACAAATGCACTCACTTCAAAGATCAATAACGAATGATTTTGTAAAGTTGCATTTGTTTTCTAACACAAAAATGTTGGAGTCAATCAAACATGCTTGTTTATAATGTTGAGAATTGAAGAACAATGTAAACCCATTAAAGTCTGCCATCAATAACACCATATGCTAACTGACTGTGTGACTATCTGTCAGGTGTACCTGCTGATGTGTCGTGTGAGCTTTCCGGATGAAGAGGTCTTTGAACGAGTCCTTCCAGTGCTAAATGTGGCACTGGCGTCTCTGCACCCACTGACTGATGAACAAATGTTCAGGGCGCTGAATGCAGGCAGTGTGAGGGGGGAGCTGGAGTGGAAGGACTTCCAACAGAGATTAGACAGCCTGGCTGGATTCATGGTAAGCCTCTTGATATGACTGCACGGATTGAACATAATGATTCAAGCTTGTGTTTCAGAAGTTTTGCTAAGAAATACTTTTTCTCACCAACAACTAGTGATGTAGAGGTAGTCTCTTAGTGGACTTACAGGATACTGGCAGACTATTTAAAGGCATCCTATTTTTAGGACTGATCATGTCAAGTAATTCTAGTTTTTCTATTTTAAGAAATGTGTTGTATCATTTGTTTTATAGGTAAAACGCAGGGATGGCACACGGATGCTGTGTCACCCATCCTTCAGAGAGTGGCTGGTTTGGAGAGCAGATGGAGAGAGCAATGACTTTCTCTGTGACCCAAGGTGAGTCTCATACAGCACAAGGTCTTAAGATGAGTTTTACCATCCAGAATAAAGTGTATAAATAACCATTATATGAACGTCCACAGGAGTGGCCATGCTCTCCTGGCCTTCATGTTCTCCAGACAGGAGGGCAAACTAAACCGGCAGCAGACCATGGAACTGGGACATCACATCCTCAAGGCTCACATATTCAAGGTAACAGGAAGTGTGATTCTGTGAGCATAAAATATAACGTATGCTTACAACTAGAACTGATTGTTCGTAAGGCCCTTTGAATCTCCTCGATTTCCCAAAAGGGTACTAATCCTAGACGTTAATGTATATTACTGCATTAAAACACATAAGGACATACGCACATGAGAATGAACCCTTGTCCCTATCCCCACCCACACACATTAGCACTACTTGTACACATAAACACCCACGGTACATTTAATATTGTACTGTTGGCATTCACAGCTCGTACTCTGTACATAGTGCTCTACTCTTGGGACACAATTCAAATTCCGCACCACAGATCTCATCTAAGCAAGCTTAATCTCTCACCGTCTCTGTCTCTCTCTGAATCCATCTGTGTTTCTCTCACACACTCGCAGGGTCTGAGTAAGAAGACAGGTGTGTCCTCCAGCGTCCTGCAGGCCGTGTGGGTGAACTGCAGCACAGACAGTCTGTCCGCTGCGCTCGCCTCCCTGAGGAACCTATACACACCTAACATCAAGGTTACAAACATATGCTCCATATTTGAATTAAAAAATACAATAAATGTAGGATGTCATATAATCCAGCAATATCCAACAACAGAGAGTGGCATTGTGTTGAATATTAGCACAGCTGGGATTTGGTCAGAGCGCTGAAGATAGTCACAGCCGTTCAGATCGTCTGAAAAAACATCACAAGCTTGAGCGTGATATTGCTTTTATACAACAATTATACAGGCTGCATATTGTAGTTCACAAAAATAATCAACAACAGATCATTACTTTTCGTTTATTAATCATTTATTTGGCTCCACCAACATAAATTAACCTCTTAATCCAAAAATATTCTCTTGCACTCTTTGTGTACAGTTTTAAGCAAACCAGCAACGTTGCATCATGTGTACTCATCTGTAGGTTTCATTCTATCTTCTGGTGTAGAGTCTGTTGAAAGATGCTTTGGTAGCAATTTGTGATTCTGATGTACCAGCTTGATCAATCATGACAAACTGTCTGCTGTACTGTACCTTCATTAACTGTATACAGAACACCCAAGGTGGAGTGATACACCAGGAAAATAATAATGGTGGTGATGTTGTGCTCGATATCAGCACTCATGGAATGTCTCTTGTCCAGTCAGATTCCTTGGTTGGAAACAACTATTTTACTGTATAAAGAGATTGGCTTGAAAACTTTTGCTAAAAAACTGCATACTTACCGTTCATACTAAACATGACATTGTATTGAGTATGTGCAATCCTAATTTAGAGAATTTATGAAATTTTGTGTATGTGAGAATTGCCCGATGTATTCTAGATTTACTTTTTGAATGCTTTTATTTTTAAAAAAGGACAGTGAATAACTTATGCAACAAGGAGGAAAGAGTTTTGGAATAATATGCAGCAAAGTGCTGAGGGTCAAAGTTGAACTTGGGCTGACCGCTTGGAGGACTATAGCTTCTGTACAACGCGGTACGGGATATTACCGCTACGCTAACCATCGCCCCGGCCATCATTTTAAAGAAAGAGACAGGAGCTCACCTGTCACACTCAATACATACACATGCAAAAACAGGGTCCCATGGACATGCTTTAATGGAGATATGTCAGAGTGAAGGGCAGAACATGAAAGAGCTCCCGAGCAGTTTGGGGGTCCGGTGTGTTCAGACAAAGCCATACACTACATTTTTCTCCTGCAGGTGAGTCGTCTGTTGATGCTAGGTGGTGCTAGTGTGACTTGGTGTACAGAGGTGATCGGACGGGCCCCCATTATGGCGGTCCACGCCCACCTGGGGCATGTGGAGATGATAGCCCTGCTGCTTGAAATGGGCGCCCCGGTGGATGGGACCACTGACAGCGGCATGACACCCCTGTGTTTAGCTGCTGCTGCAGGACACGCCGACATCGTCAGCCTGCTCTGCAAGAAAGGGGCCAAGGTCAGTGTTATTTCCAAGACAAATCTGGGTTTTTAAGGGTCTGACCAGAAAAAAAAACGATTGCGAATATAGATATCTGAAACATTAAACATGTAACAGAACACACTTTCTCTGAGGGCCTTTACAACAATGATATCCTGATCAGACCCGGTTTTACATCACCACAGTATCAGGATCTATTTTGGGAGACAGATGACATAAACAGGCCTGATCTAGGCCAGGGTATTACAGACACCATCCAGGATCAGGGTTATAAGTCCTCATGTGTCCCCCTCTGTGCCAGGTGGGCCATGCTGATAAGAGTGGCCAGTGTGCTCTGGTCCACGCTGGGCTGAAGGGCCATGCAGAGATCATCAACATCTTGCTGGTCCAGGATTGGGTAGCAGAGATCCCGGCCGACCCGCTGCAGCAGCAACACAGCAATGAGACAGTGACCGAGAAAGCACAAGCAGCACAGCAAGCAGTTACGGCTGCAGCTAGTGTGGGACACACACAGGTTGGTATCAGCTCAAGGTCCTAATGACAAACACATATTTTCAGATATTGATTTTTTTATGTAGAGCACATTGCCTGTCCTGCTTGATGTTGATGATTTATGAGGTGTGTTTCTCTGTTTGCTGTGGTCAAGGTCTGTGAGTGCTTTGTGTTTTTCCTTCTGCACAGCGAGTCTGCAAGACAGAGGACTGTGAAATTGTGTTTTCTTTCTGCAGGTGGTGAAGAGCCTGCTGGACTTGAAAGATGAACAGCTGGCAGTGCAGATGGACGCTCACGACTCTCTCTGGGGAGAAACGGGTACATTTCTTCTATCAGTCAGATAAATTTAGCTTTCTCACCTCTTCCTGTCCATCAGTGTGGTTCCAGAGTCACGCTCATAGGTTTTCAGGTCGCAATTTAGGCCAATTCTGGCTCAGTGCAATGAAATAGTATTAAACATACAATATCATGTTTAAAACTTGTAAACAGAGCAAACTGAGCAGAGCTGCAGGAGCACAAGAGAACTTGATACTAAATTACCAATTTTCGTATTATGATTTTAGGATGCTCTGGTTGATATCAAACAGTTGATTCAATTGAAAATATTTCTTTTGTTTTGAGCAAAAATGGAGCGTCCTTTATCACACGGAATATCTTGTCCAGCCACATTTCTGGCATCTAAAAAGCAGCTGTTATTCAATTGTAATACTTTTACCTCAATCACAGATGTGATAGTGCAGCTTGCAGAATTCTGTTAGGACCATTTCCTGAAAGCTTGCAGGAGGAAGCCTGTATCTCAGCCTTCAGCGCCATTAGAGGGCTAATGCTATTACACAGTCCCCTCCAGTGCTGCCATAGAAAAAGCGGGAGCATGAAATGCCCTCAGAAAGTAAGTAAGTAACCTTGAGTAATAGTCCTTTAGCACAGACAAAATGATAAGTAAAGGATATATGTTATGTCTAATGACTTGACCAGGGAGTTGTGCTATTTTCGGGTATTAGTTTAAACCAAACACTATGATTCATTTCTCAACTGCACAAAGTCACCTTAACCAAGGACTTCAAGGGGGTGTTCTTTTAAAAATGGTCTTTGTCTCACACATGCCAATAACTTCTGTCTAAAAGCACAATCGATTTGTTTACGGAAACAGCTCTCACATGAAACATGATGACATTTCTCAAGGTTACTTAGAGGTGAGAGCATGGCATCGATACCTCGCCTCTACCCCAAGTCTCTACACTAGCTTAAGGATTGCATACTTCAAAAAAGGACCTCAGCTTATCCTTTGTCCTAAAACACTGGCTGGTTAAGGAGGGTGTAACTTATCTTTATCGTATAGTTATGTTTAAAAAAAAAGAAATGTTCTACCTTGATTGTTCAAGAAGTAGGGATCTAGTTTTGGTCAGAAGTTAGAATCAAAAAGCAGATAGAATAACCAGCCTTGATTTTCTCTCAGTTTCTCACTCCTGCTCTACTTCTCTTCTAAATGTGTCAATTACATATTCTCCTCCGCCTCGTCGTCCTCATCTCTATGCCGGCCCTCTGTCAGCTCTGAGCGCGGCAGCAGGGAGAGGGAGGATGGAGATGTGTTTGTTTCTTCTGGAGCGGGGGCCAGGGCTGGAGATATCCAACCGCAGGGGCATGGTCCCGCTGCTCAGTGCCACCAAGCATGGACACACACAGGTCAGGAGTTGTCTACTCACTGCATCTTCTAAAATTGAGAAGTTCTGTGTTTTTTTGTTTGTTTTTTTGCTTTAATATTTTTTCCCTGCCTTCCCAGGTGGTAGAGTTGCTCCTGAAACACGGTGCAGATATCAACGTCACAGACAAGCAGGGTCGCACTCCCTTGATGCTGGCTGCTGCTGAGGGCCACACGAGCACTGCTGAACTGCTGCAGTTGAAAGGTGAGAGGCCGCACCCTCTCTACTAACATCATAAAACCTTTCACGAGAAGTGCGGAAAATGATTCGCTTTGTTGGGCCTCCCAGGTTCTTCCCTGTCCTCGGTTGATCAGGAGGGGCTGACTGCGCTGAGCTGGGCCTGTATGAAGGGACAGAAAGGTGCAGTGCAGCTTCTGGTTGCAGCTGGTGCAGATGTGAACCAACCAGACAGACAGGGACGGACCCCTCTCGACCTAGCTGCCCTCAACGGAGACGCAGAAACAGTGGGTTTCATGCTGTTCGCCAAAAGAGTGTGCCCTTGACATTAAGTTAAAAAAAAAACAGTTAATAAATAATGATTTTCAGAGTAGAATGCATAAATGTTTCACACCCACAACAACATTAGATGCTATTTTGAACTTATTAAATAATCATATCAACGTGGGTTGTTAATTTGCAATCACAGTAAGTGTGCAGTAAAAACCTCCAGTGTGAGCACTCTGATTTGTATTCTTGTGATCTATTGATCAGCATGACAATAATCAATGCTCTCCTCAGGATATTAAGAAGCACACAACTTTATTTCCACAGCACCTAATCAACATGCTTGATTTTTAACTCTTAACACAATAAAACATGTTTTTTTTTTTTTTTTTTTTGAATGCTCGGTTAGGTGCATTGTCTGGTGGAACATGGAGCGGTGCTGGAGAGAGCCGACAACAACAGCGGCAGAGGTTCAGACCGGCCGACTGGATGCCAGAACCCGGCTCTGGTGGCCTCGCTTCTTAAGAAGGGATCCAAGACAGGTACAAACGCCAGACCTTTTATAACGACTCTGCAATACATTCTGCTTCAACAGATTTTACATTAAGTGTTCCAAAAACGACGTATTAGAATCCAACACAGTTTAACAGCTCCACAAACTGCAGTATAGCCTCTAATATGAGCATAAAGATGAGTCAAGGCTGCGTATTTATATTTCCAATTTGTCTTTACCAATCAATGAAACCTCAGCTCCCTTGGCAGAACAATTTTATGTGCTATACTTTTGCACCTGCAAGCTCTGCATTTCTATTACTTTATAATTGCCTATTTAACTTCCATAGAGTATTTCTATTTTTGCTGCAGCCTCACCCTTTACTCCTCTAACTCCCTCTTCACCTCTCTTTTTCTCCATCAACTGAAAGGCTACAGAACGGCTCCACATGATCGATCAGGTACGTGATAAATGGAAGACACAACGTTAGAATAAAAGAGACATATTGTACAAAGACTAATATTTGTACCCCTTCTCAGGCCATGCTACGTGGGCTATGGCTTCCTCCAAACCAGACATTCTCCTCATCTTGTTGCAGAAGTTAATGGAGGAAGGAAACTTACTTTACAAGGTATTTATTTATCAGTGTGTTGAGAAGATGTGACAAATCTCGCAGACTTTTATTTAAATAGGCTTGAAACAAGATGGGTTTTTTTTTAGGACTGGCTGTCAAAATGTGCCTTCCCTTTTTCTCTCTGTTATTTTCTCTTTTCGTTTCTGTGTGCTTCTCAGAAGGGACGTATGAAGGAGGCCGGCCAGCGTTATCAGTATGCCCTGAGGAAGCTCCCTCGTGAGGGGCAGGGAGAGGAGCTGAAAGGGCTCAAAGACCTGCGGGTCTCTCTCTATCTAAACCTCTCCCGCTGCCGCAGGAAAACCAATGTAAGGCCCACAGCTCTATCAAACTGCTCATGCACTATTTAACACCAGCAGGTTTATTAGGCGCTGAGGGGACGGCAGGATGGCTGGCAAGGCAAGGTGGATGTTTCCTTTAGATATATAATTTATCTGTATCGACATTAAAAGATAATGTCAGAAGCGGTGTGGCTCGCTGTAAAAATATCTCGGCTTGTCAGATCTAATTCCCCTTCTCCCCGGTAAACACAACGTACGTGTAAGACCTGGAAGCAGGTGGTGACATAATGAATAACCGTGTGCTGTTAGTGCAGGGATGAATGTGTGTGGCCTGCAGCCAGCTTTGGAACCCACCCTGGTGATGACAGACGTCCTAACAGACTGTGTAAAAATGCCATCCTTAGGGTCACTGTGGCCGATGAATAATGGAGCAGATAATGTGATGTGATAAGGTCACTCTCTCTGGCAGGCCGAGCGAGCGGGCGCTCTCTTTCTCCGTGTCTCTGCAGGGGGTTATTTACAGTGGACATGCGAGTGGGCAGACAAAATCCACATATTATATCAAAAAGCAGGCAGTAAGGCCGGTAGATAGACTACATGATACCATCATTAAACATTTTTCAGCACCGTTCACAAGCTCACATTTAAGGCTGCCAATTTGACCTCGCACCCAAGGACAGACTCACAATGTGTTGGTGTTATTAAATATTCACCTGAGGGTGGTGATGAGAGCAGAGAAACAAGCTGCTGTCTGTCTGTTGCTCTCCCTCTCTTTTATAGTTCCTGGTCAATAAAAATAATTGCAGCATGAGTTTAGTTTGATGACACAGGCTTCGATTTTCAGATCCATATAATGAAGACGTTAACACTTTTTTTTTTTTTTTTTTTAAATAGGAATTGGCTCGGATTGTTACTGCAAAACAAACATTTTCCAGACTAGTCACTTAACACACAGCTGATCACACAGTGGGTTTTTTTTTTTTTTTTTTCCTGTGCCGCTTCTAATATTTAAATTCAAATGAACTTTCCTATCTTAACAAACAGGATTTTGGCATAGCTGAGGAGTTTGCAACAAAAGCCCTGGAACTCAAACCCAGGTCTTATGAAGCGTTTTATGCCAGAGCACGTGCCAAGAGGAGCAGCAGGTACAGCAATATTAAATGAAGTTTATTATTTCAAAGCAGGCTTAATAGAAAGTTATTCTTGCGAGAATCAGCAATTCACTGAAATGCTATGCCTCAGCGGTGCTGTACGTTAAGTATTTTTTAAAGTTCCTTTGTTCGTTCTCTTTGTCCTCCCCAGGCAGTTTGCTGCAGCACTGGCAGACCTCCATGAAGCAGCACGACTCTGCCCGTCCAACCGGGAGATCCGTCGCCTGCTGATTCGGGTAGAGGAGGAATGCAAACATCATCAGAAGGCACTGAGCAACAACATGGCACCGGGCTACAACAGGGACCCTCACACCCACCACCATCAAGCCACAGAGGAGGAGACAGACGCTTTTTCGCAGGGAAGTCTGGAAAGGCAGACCCCTGCAGAGCAGACTGACACAGACAAGGATGAAGAGAAGGAGGAGGAGGATGAGGTGAGCCTGCAGTGTGGTAAAAGTCCGGAGTTTTGGCCTCTGAATCCGTACGCTTCAAACAGGACTCTCCCTGGAGGTGTGGCCTTCGGTTTAACAGATCAGTCGCCGTGTTTCCCTCAAGAGGAGTTTGTTCAGAACCCACTGTTTGTGGACCTACCGGAGCCTGTTCCCCTGATAAACAGGCAGAACCAGAACCAGAGCAGCAGAACTCATCACCACTGCCACTCCCTCCAGGCAGGGGGCAGAGTGGGAGGCAGGCCTCTCTCTCTGTGCGGCCCCTCCAGTCCTCTGCCGGGAAGACACATCTCCACTTCCCTGAGACCTGCTGGGGTGCTAGGAATCGACATCGGCCCTGGATCAATTAATGAGCATTCAGGACACAGCCCGACTGATCACTATCACCCCATGTCCCCCAGCAGCTCCTCCCCTCCTGGGCACCTTCAGATGTATCAGCCCCGCTCCTCCAGCTTCTCCAGGGGCTCTGACAGATTCTCCACCCATTCTGTGGCTCTGGATGGTCTGGCTCTTGCTCTTGGGTCTGGCATGGAGGTAAGGAGGGAAGGGGGAGGAGGAGGAACAGCAGGCTCAAGAGGCTCTAGCTCCAGTCAGGCCTCCAGCGGGAATCTATCTGACGGCGGCAGGCAGCAGTTGCCGGACGCTCCGTGCCTCATCAAGAGCAGCGGCAGCTTCAAGACAAAACCTGAGCTAAAGCCCAGGCCCTTTATGGGCGTTATGGACAAATCAGTGCGAGTGCAAGGCCAGCAAACCTCTGGCCTGGGCCGAGGAGGTGGTGGGGAGAGTTTCAGCTTGTCAGTGATGGAGTTTCAAGGGTTCAACACTGAGTTCAAACGCGCTTCATTCCAGGAACAGCTCTCTGTAAGTCAGGCTAACAGCCAGCAGCAGGGCCGGGACTTTGGAGAGCGGCTCCACCAGCGAGAGGCCAGAGGTTCAACATCCTCCCAGCTACGCTTCCCTGATGGGAGACACAGACAGGCGAGCCTGACGAGAGACAACCCTGCTCTGCATATGGCCCCCATCAAACCCAAACGGTCATTTATAGAATCCAACGTCTGAGTGAAGTTCATTTACGCACTGCTGAGGCGGTTTTCAACAAATTATGTCCCACATAAGGTAGCGAGGGTGACTGGTGTGAGCACAGCTCCCTTCTCTGAGCCTGTTTTGTAGAGTTATGCTGCTGCACTGCATTTACAATCTAGAACCAGAGTTCAACTCAGGCTGCTATGCTTTTGCTTACATGTCTACAGCTACACTAGTGTATTCAAGGAAACCAGACATACCTTAAGTAGGGCTTTAAAAAAATAAATAGTATATTGTCTAAACTTTAATTTATTATATCAAACATAGAAGTCAGACTAAGCTTTGTGCACGAATATAAAAAAAAATCTCATGCTATTAGTTGCAAGATATGACCATTTCTATTGTAATGTGTCTTTTAAAAAACATTTATATTTGTACGGTGTACACTATATTTGCAGATTATATATTTCCCTGTTAGTGGATATCTGTCAGCATTACAGGCTGTGTACTTGAGATTCTTTTTCTTGGTACATTTGATAAAAAAGGCACTGTACAAGACATTGTTGGAAACGTCTCGTCATAAGCTAATTCTGAATTGACTGCTTCAATATTCACAGTATATGTTATTTATTTTTGCATAGCAGAGAACGTATTCATATGAAGTGTTTATTTGGACGACAGTGGAGGATAACAAACCTTAAGAGACCTCTTACATCGCTGTATGTCCATCCTGGTCGTATAACCTCTTCAGAGTCATACAATGGATTACAGAATGTTACCACATCATTACTGTGGTATAATAAAATATACATGAAGGACTACATTTCTCTACAGCTACTTCTTTCAGAGCATAATCCACAAATAGAATCACAAACAAAGAGTTGCACCAGCTTCAGAGTGTATGGCTACATAAATAGACTTTTCCTTTCACAGTACAAAAAAAGCAATTAATCAATCAATAAAAGTAAGCCATTACAAATGAAATACATATAGGCAATACAATCTGAATAATGAATAATGCAGAAATGTCTTCATTTATGTTGAACTCTCTTTGGCCAAGCACTACTCCCATAGGGTTTATATAAGACAAGCTCCCTCAATGGTAAATCTGAAAAACAGCTGTGTGTAGTGCTTACCTAAAGATGCTACATTATAGTGGCATTGCTCTTCTTTCTCCAATGAACTTAATGCTCACATTAGCACAGAGTCAGCAGGGGTATATTGTTAAGCTTGGTATGCCTAACTATTGGAGATAGGATTGTAGATAGAGTCAGAAATTGGAGAGAGAGAGAGTAAGGAAAGGTGCCACAGGTTGGATTCGAACCCGGACCGCCCGCTTGGAGGACCATAGCGTCTGCACATTGTGCACTCGCAATAATCACTAGGCTACCGGCGCCCTGAAGTTGATGTTTTATGTCAGGCCTTCTGAATCCACTGAGACTCAACGCCCCAGTCTTAAGTCCAGTTTGGTTTAAGATAGTTGCTTTTTGGTTATTCAACGAGTAAATTGTAATGAATACAAAACTGAATGTTCTTTGAACTTTAACCCTGTCATAGTTTTTTCCCCACTATAAAGGCCTTTTGTTTAAAATGTTTTCCAATGTATCTTCATGGATACACAACAACAATGACAACTTTAATTTAACAACACTTGTCAACAACACTCTAGTCTAAATCTAAATCTAAAGTTAATGTCACTTAACATCCAACAAGGCAAACACGGGGCGCTGGTGGCGCAGTGGTTGGTGCCCGATGTATGGAGGCTGTAGTCCTCAATGTGGGCGGCCTGGGTTCAAATCCAACCTGTGGCTTGTCAATCCCTCTGTCTCTCCCTGATTTCTGTCTCTGTCCACTGTCCAATCTCGCCATTAAAGTAAAAAAATAAATCTTCCAAAAAAAAAACAAGGCAAACACACAAAGGTGTCTTATTTTGAGTTGGAAGACGATAGCAGACATACTAGTGAATATTTAACCTGCAGTAACAGATTTATTTGACAACTTGAAGGCAGCGGAAACATTTGCACATATATTACCTTACATTGCTCTGTAAGGTGACCTTGAGAGTTTTGAAAGGCGCCTTTAAATAAAATGTATTATTATTATTATTATTATTATTATTATTATTATTAATAATAATAAAATATTACCGCGATTTAAGTTTATATGTTGAACTTGTTCACCAAAGTTGCTTTTTTAACATCAAGCAATTGAGGAGCATCATAATCAGTTTTGGAAAAGCCACTGTAAATGTAGGAACAATATTCACCCGCTAGTCTTTTGCTGTGTCTTGTGTTCTGTTTGGTGCTGAGAAGGAACTGCAGCAGTGAGAAAGAACCAAAACAGATAAGTTGCGGGCAGGACACCTAGAAAGATCTGAAGCTTGCTATAAAGGTTAGTCTTAATAAAAACATTTCTTATGGCTACTTAAACAAGTATCCATCAGGAGGACCAGGGAGCACTCCTCTGAGATCCATATCAAATGCAAGCAAACAACTTGTAAATTAAATGAACTAAAGTATATTAAGACCAATTAATATGATTAAACCTTACTGATCCTTTCCAGTCCAAAATGTAGCTTCGTACAGAAGCCTCAAACGTGACTAAACACCTGAAATGTTCTGGCATCCCTGTGAAGCACCATGTTCTAGTCTCTGTCTACTGAAACATACAGACACTGTGGATCAGAGCTCTCTCAGACGCTAGTGGCTGATCTTCCAGCGGCCGATGGCCATCTTCAGAGTGTGGTTGGAGGTGAGCAGGGTGGTCAGTAAGGGGAGGTTGGTCATGGGGCTGGAGCGGTTCTTGGTGTTGATCCAGCTCTCGATGGCTTCTCTTTCATACGAGTATCCGTCTGTAGGAAAATGTCACACTGACTAACTCTTACTTATATGTTGTGTCATTAGATATAAATGTGTGACGAGAAGAAAGAAAAAAAAAAAAAAGTTCTGATATTTGCTTACCCGCAGCGATGACTGGCTCCCTCATTAGCTCTCTGGTGATTGGACACAGGAACTCATCAGGAGTGCCTGAACACACTGAATCAGTCTTCAGTTCCTCCACCTTCCTCAGGAGTTTATTACGCAGGCCCACAGACTCTACATACACACACGCATTCAAAAAAATTCACAATTCACACTGGAACATCACGTAAAACAAGCTGAGCTGACTGAAACAACAACAGCAACATACAGATATCAAGATTATGAAAATCTATTAGAATTCCTTTCGGATTTTTTTCTCCTAAATGTCAGCATGAGTTTTGCTGAACACTGTGGCAGCAGAAGTCCACTTACCGTCCGTCCAGTTCAAAGTTTATACTAAGTGGCACTTGAGTGCATTTTAGCTTGATTGCTGTGTTGTCAATAACACTGTCAGACTAAATCCATCCACTTTTAAACACAAATGAGTTGACTGTAGCCAAACACACTTTGTACACTCCCTGCTTCTTTTTTAGGCAGATCGTGTTTCATTTGGTTGTTTTGCCTCTTTGGAAAGGCACCTTAAAGCTGATTGATTTCACTCCCACCTCTGAAGCGTATGCCTATTCCTCCATCTTTCACGAGTAGATAAAACATGTCGCAACTCAGAACTGTTCCCCCCCCAAGTTAGTTCTGCTTTAAAGGTGGCATTCATGCTACGCTACTAAAAACAGAACAATGTGAACACAAGCTGTCACGGCGCTGAAGCTGTGTAAAGTGAGGGGTGATTGACAGTGGCTGTGGGATGAAAATGACGGCATGGCAAAAAAAAAAAAAAACATTTGCTGACAACTACATGATGAATACTGGCCTAGCTGGTAGACTGACATTGACAACATGGCACTCCTACTTGAGCCTTGTGGTTCAAAAAGAAACAAAAAAAACACACCTGATGAAGTCTGTTAACCAAACTGTCCAAAAAGCCATTCCACTCAAGAGTTAGAAATAACAAGAAAAGCCTTATGATATTAGGAGTAAATCCACTTTTCACCTTATGGGCAATACTGTTTGGGGATTGGATTATGTAACTAAAGAAGTGCTCCAGATTAAAGTCAGACCTGCTGAAGCCTCAAAGCCGAGTTCTTTTACAGTCTAACCTTATATTATGTAATCTGGCTGAGTAGAACTCCCATCCAAAGTCATTCAATTTAATGGAGTTTCTTTTCATCCGTGTAAAGAGGTACAAAAAGCCTAATCCACATATGTCCATTCTTACGAAACACCAGACATGTAACAGCCTTAAAACTGTGTGTGTTTTAGACTGAAACAAACATTAGGGTTATAAGAAAACAAGGCACTGAAGACATTGCACTCTGAGACACGCGTGTGATGTGCGTTTTCCTCACCTATGTGCAGCTCTGACGCCAGTGTTTCCTTGGTGAGGCAGAGCAGCTCCGTCCCGTCTATGTTGTTGGCTGTGAATTTGTCCACCAATCCCTCGAGGCCTTCCTCCACAAGCCACGCTGACACATCCTCCTCCGACCAATCCCCTACCAACAGCTTGGATCGGCCTGCTGACGTTCTCCCTGCGAGAGAAAGCGGGGTGGTCAGTCAGTTGACGGCTGCAGTACTTTTTTGAAAAATGGCCACACATTCTCTTGTTCGGGCATCACGCTGAGTTTTTATTGATCAGGGGGCTGAGGCTGGCACAGCTTGTGTACTAACATAAATAAGTGTCTGGAGGTTTCATTGATGTTTTCATTGATGCAAGATGGAATTAAAAGGTGAAAAGGAGCTTGTACTTTGCAGACAGAAAAGCTAGACTGAACATGGACCTGGTCCCTTAAGCTTCACACCTAACCCTTTTTTTAATTTGCTGCAAAAAATGTACGGAGGAGTGGTGCTTTACTTATTGATTTCAACTGATACTAAGGCATGTGCATGTTTTACAATAAGGTATATTTTCTTTCTACCTTCACTTGATGTCCGAGCAGACTTCCCTGAAACACAAAGAAAACGAGAAAAATCTTGTAAACACGAGGAGGCAAAGTGATCTTTGAAGCAACACTAATGTCTGAAGGGTGATGAAAAGAAAGCACTAATGCACAAAACACCTGTGTCCTTCACCACAAGATGACACTAGTTTCACACGTGACACTGTAAGAAACACTGAAAGAAAAGAAACACTGAAATAAAAGCCTCAAGCACTGTGGTGCAACTTTTCCAACAAGAATGGAAATGATTCAACTGACTAATAGCCTTTTGTTTCAGAATAGTTGCATATAAAAGAAAATGTATCAAGGGTTTTGGTGCTCGCAAACAGAACGCCATCTGCAAACAATGAGTGTAGCAATAGAACAGTCCTGTTTGCACTGTTTAGAGTATATAAGCAGCTCTTCTCTTGCCAAGAAAATAAATCTGAACACAAAAACGAACTAACCTGATACTGGTTTCCCATCTTCCCAGTGATGACAACAAAACAACAACAAAAAAAGATTTAAAAAAAAACAAAACAAATGCAATAAATCATGGACACAAATATGTTAGTCTGTTAGAGTGATGTATGTGTTCCCCACCACTGCCTCTGCATCCGTCCTCCAGCCTCCAGATGTTTACAGTCTTATCCATGGATCCTGTAGCAATGAGCGGTGCAGTCGGAGAGAAGGAACATGCTGTCACGTACCTGAAGAGGACAGTGTCACAGGAACGATGTTTTTTTTAGTCAACAATGAGTCGTGTACAGTAATATCAGAAAAGAAAAAACTTTTTGAAAGGGATTTATAAATCACAGACACATAGCTAAGACTTTTTTCATTTTTATGTATCTATATGTTTTTTTTTATGTAACAGGGACACATGCAGTGAACATTGCTTCATATGAAAAATACTAAGTGGATGCCATGCATACAGTTTTCTAGCTATGGCTGATTTGCCACCCCTGACCCTGGCTGGGCTTTTAGGATTAAAACAGAATCATCAGACTTAAAGAAATACAGAAACAGTGATACTACTACAAATACATTAAAGACATTATAAACTCAATACAAATAATTGACGTAACAAGACCAAATAGTAAAATGAGTATTATAAGAGGAAATAGTCAGTGGTTGAAACTGTGAGCATTGTTTCACTTGTGTCTTAAAAACCTTGAACTCTGTCAGTTTTTTTAACTTCAGATGGTAGTAAAAGAGAGAAACTGGATGGAGACACATAAAACCTATTCTTAGTTTATTTTAAAGAACATGAGGACTCTGTTCATTCAAAGCCTTCACAAACTCAAGTCAAAAGGCTCAGATAGTCTGAGCTTTGTTCCCAGTATAAGTGGCTCTGCTTTCAGTTCTGTCCAGCTCACACAGGGTTAAAAGCCCGGCCCTGACGCTCAGTGCCGGCCCTGAAAATGTTAACATGTGGGAATGATCTCCACATCAAAAGCTGTTCAAACTAAATAAGAATTCAAATCTAATTTGCAGTCCATTCAAAAAGTCAAGGCAACCCTAATGAGCACGATCATCCTAAAAGTTAAGCCGGATTGCTTGAAGATTCCCAAAACGAAGGTTTTCAAACAACATCGTGTTAAACCTCCCACAGGACTTTAGTAAAAGGGGACTCACTCTTATATTCTAATATTAACACAGGAGTGTCCTGGAAGTATTTTTGACAAGTGTTGTGATTTTTTTTTTCCCCATTCAGTTTCCACTTTCTTCAAACTTGCCTCATCTTTTTCCACTTCACTCTGTCAGTTTTTTTTTTTTTAAAAAGACTTTCATTTGCTGTGCTGAGAGGAAGCAAGATTTCTGCCTTTCAATCACAGGTGGCTTGATGGACTGAAATAGGCTCTAAGTAAGAGCATTCAGCTGCAGCTTGTTTGTGCGTGTATAAGCTTGGGAGAGAGAAGTCCTACCCTTTTTCTAAAAACGCTGAAGGCATGTTTTGTGACCACGCTGGATCAAAATCTGTACAATGAATGAGTGGTGTCTCTGCTTTAACTATACAAGATGTGAATGACATATGCAGCCTGTGTTTTATGGAACAATCTGTGGCATCAAAACCTAATAAAGCTGCTCTTCAAACTTCTCATTGTGATGTGTCATCAGATTTATCACGAATCACACTGCTCGTGTTACCGTAAGTGATTCATTACCTCTCATGCTGGTTCAGTGTGTAGAGCAGAGCTGCACTGTTCTGAAAAAGGAAATATGAACCATGTGTTCCAAATGAGGCAGTATATTAAGATGAAGGAAAAGCCTTTTAATAATGAATAACACATAAGCAGGAGAGGTACTTACAGCATCGTAGACTGTGACAGTTTTGTCCACAGAGCTGAAGGAAGTAAAACAGAATGCATGGTAACTCTATATGCAGACGTTTCAATAACTGACTATCAGGAGCAGCAGGTTCAGATAAATGTTCACTCACTGAGAAATTGAGCGTTCTATGTCTCCCCCTAGTGGTTCCACTTGAGTACTGCATTAATAGAGTTCAGAAGCCTACCAACTCTGTAAATCCAGGCAAGCAATTGAAGTTTCACATCAGTATTTGATCCTCAGTAGATCAAGTCAGGAACCCTGATTTATTAAGTACCAAGAGGCTGAGGTAAAACAGAGATTCAATTATTTCTGCTCGTTCTCTGAGAACTGAAACTTGAGAAAACCGCAATAACGGTCAAAAATCGGAAATCAGTCAAACATAGTTCTCAGTCTTTTCACATGTTTAAAGCTATCTTCTTGCAACATATTTAGCGTGCTTGGCGACATATTGCTGATTTTACTTTACAGGGGCTTTAAGGAATACCAGATGGTAAAAACCATATTTGATGAGTCTCTGAAGTAACCTTTACAGTTGTGTGTCTTCGCCCTTTGAATACATCATACAGCCTCGTTTAAAAGAGATTCTCTAAACAGTGTGTGTCTTTATTGGTAAAAACTGTATGGGTGTTATTCATATTTTTAATTAGTCTGTTTTGAATTAATTAAGCCTCACAGTTCTGCATGAATAGGGGTGTTGCTGATCTGACAGACAGGCGGGCACGTTGCAGCTGTTTGCCAGGAGACTTGAGGCTTTGTCAGTTGCTAGGTTGACCGAGAGTTTAAGACAGCATTTTCAATATGGCGCCCGTCATCGTTCAAAACCCCGCATTAAAAAAACAGTGTGAGACGTCAATGATACCATGTCCATGTTTTATACAGTCTGTACACTACACTTGCACAAAGAGGAGATATTGGATACCCTGAAGTAAGAACTACCTCTTAAAAGTTACTATAAGCCTTGAAAAATGTTTTAAGATGTTTTGAGTATAAAATAAAAATTACAACATGTTTTCTGAATCCTTTTTTAAGATCCTACCCAGAAACAAGCAGCTGTCCATCTGATGAGTACGCACAGGAGAGGACTGGAGCTGACTGGCCGGTTAGTGTGTGCAGGAGCTGCATCCTATAGCCTACAAGAGAGAAACAGGTGTACTAAGACACACATGTTTGTCAGATATTCCCCCCTGACTGATGTCCAACTGGCCAGAGAGCGATGCTGCAGGTGGGATATATTGCTGTGCTATGAAGGATGATGTCAATGTAAATTTACTAAAAGATATAATGATATAATCAATTAGTGTTCAGACTGCACAGACACCTTACTTCTAACATTAATAAAGGTCATATAAAGAGAGATGTTCCAGTCTTTAAAGACAGTAAAGAAATGTCACTTTACCTCCAGAGCTGAACTTGTTAATGGCCCAGATCTTCAGCTGACTGTCCTGCCCACAGGACGCCAGACGAAACTGCACGACTTGACCACCTTAAAGACAAACAAACAAACAGATCATTGTGTGATATGAAACAAATCCGGCCTTGGTCAGTCTTGCACATACATATGAAATACAGCAGACTACATTTATTACTGCATTTTTTTTTAAACATACAGTATTTTACCAGTATTTTGTACATAGGTCCTAAGTTGTGACTATGTCGTTATGTGTTCTTTTTTTTAACCTGACTGCAAGCTCAATTTCCAATCAGAGATTTAGTACAAGTTGAACTTTTAAAAAATGTGACAGTATGTCAGTTACTTGTTGACATGCACGCTTTATGCAAAGCTCAACGAATAAACCAGTGGGGTGAGAGTTATGTCAGTTTAAATGTTGACAGATATGCAAAAGAAAAACATTTTAATTTCTGTATTTGCATGTACAGTTGACCGTTGAGTTTTCTGTCTTGCTGATGTATCGTATACTTATATAGTGTATGTATATTACATAAATGTAATGCTAAAGTGTCTTATATCTACAGTTTCTTGATTGTTTTGTCTAATTTTCAAAATCCTGCTGTTTTATGTTTCTGTCTCTATGTTAATGATAATAATGAGAAAAAATGACTGATTGATGTATAATTTGTCACCTGACCAAACCGTGAGCCACAGCATGTGTGCAGCAGTACTTCTCACCACTGAGGATGCTGGGAGCGAAGGTGCAGCAGGTGACTCCCAGGTCGTGTGCGTTCTTCTCTGCGTGGAGCTGCCTCATGTTCAGGTCCCACAGGCGCAGGTCTCCATAGGTGGAACCTGTAATGAACACCTGACTGCAGGGGCTGAAGGAGCAGGCTACCAACGTTGTGTCATTCACACCTCCAGTCCTACACAAATACAAACACAACAAAACACAGCTGCATAAACCTGTATGTTTACTTCTGTTTACTCAACTTAAACACTATTGTTTAGGTATAATAATGCATGGAACCGGATCAAGCACATGTAATTTTAGGTAACTTCCAACAGTCTGAGGAGAGATGTTTGTCATGGTTTTCAGGTATGAGAATTACTCAGTACACCGGTTTAAAAAGTGGGCCTTCAATTCCAAGATCATTAAAAAAACACTTAAGTATTATCTACTTCAGATAATAGCATTTATCTACTTAAACAATGATAGATTGAAAAACAACAAAATTATTTAAATAAATGTTGTTCAAATATCAGCTTTACCTATGAAGCTGTTTGGAGGGGAAATCCCACAGAGCTAAAGTGCCATCAGATGCACCAGAGACCAGGTGTGCAGAGTCAGGAGAGAGGGCACAGATCCTCACAGGACTGCGACCAGGATGCTCGAGGACGGCTTCAATCTCACCAGAGGCCATGGACCAGACGACTGTGGTAGCATCAGTTGAACACGAGGCAAGAAACTGTCCACAGGTGGTGAAGCAGCAGCAGTGGACGCTGTAACCGTGTCCTGACAGCGGTGAGAAGGGAAGCTCCGAGAAGTCCCGTGTGTTATAAACCCGGAGTGTTTTATCGCCTGAACATGTAGCAAGCAGGTTGCCGGAGAAGGCACACCAGTTGACATCGTCTCGGTGGTCTTGCAAAGTGCAAATCAGAGAGGTCATTTGGAGAGCTGGTACCTGAAGTTAACATTTAACATGAGGGAGAAAAAAAAAAACATCACATGAAGGGAAAGTAGTTCATTTCATCTGAATGCAAGGTTTGCAGAGACAGATTCTGATTTAAGTCTGAACCTGAAATATATATGAGGGAGGGTATTAAAATAATAATGAATTATTCAACCAGAGCTTGTTTTCAACCTTTTGCAGAGATTCCAAAAAAATTCACCCGATTGAAGCGACAAAAAAAAACAACAACAACAACAACTCTTCTCAATGATTTGTGTAAAAACAGAACATTTGTCAAGCAATTATGCCAAACATTTGCATCTTTCAGATTCTGTCAAATGAAAATGAGTGTTTTTGTATTGTTTGCCGAACAGACTCACAAAGTAATTGTTTACTCAAGAAGGGAAAACATATTGTTGGTTACATTTCTGACACATTTAGAGCGTTTTATTTTCACAAAGAGGACTAACAGAGTTTTATATGAATTCATACTTAGGGCTTTTGTTTGGCTATTTTCAAATTGGTCAGCGGTCATAGCAGGTTGCCATCAAGATTAGGGACATTTAATCTGCTAGTCTGAGAATAATACATATCCTACAGCATTTCAACATGTACACTGGGATTTTTCTAGATCAATAGTGGAAGGTATAAAAACAACTGTCTATCCAGTATTATAATCTAACAATAAGAAACCAGCTGTTGGATTGTCACTTCAGAAAGAAAACAAAGACAAACCAGCTGAAAAACAACAGCAAACCTCTGGGATAAATACTCTGTAGAGACTGTTGCTAAGGTTCAAGCTAGCGATGCTGAAGAGTCGAGGAGCACCTTTCTACTTCTATATAATATCAGATATTATTCTCCTGCTGAGGGAAACTGCCACAAAACAACACAGACAAGCAGACGAACAGTGTCAAAATCACAACTCAATCATCATTATTTTACATTCAACTACCGCAATGTACAGTACCTGTCTCTTCCTCCGTCGTGCTTGTCCGTTCAGCTCAATGTTGTTTACTTCCGCATCGAACAGCTGACCCTGACGTAATGTGAATGACGTCATCTTCTCAGAAGACATGAATTGCTCTTCAGTTCTTTAGAAGAGACACCTGATTTCACACACTTTAAAGTGGATGAACTCAGCTGTTCAGATGAAAATGATGTCATTAGATGATGTAATCAGTTATAATCGTGCATGAGTGTTTCTTTGCAGGATTACGGGTACCCTGTTGTTTAAAAATCTGTTTCGGATGAACAGATGTAGATTTTGTTCTCCTATTAAAACAACTATTCTCCGTGTTAAGAATGGTATCATATATTTTAACTACACAAACAAATGTGGTTTCTTCACATGGTAAAAGAAGCACATGCACTTTACTTTCTTAGTTCTGCTTTATACTTTGCACTTTATACTCACCTCAAATGAAGGCTATAAAAAACGTCTTCTTCTTCCCCAGCTGACTTTATGCATTTTAACCCTTACGAAATCTTTTTTGTGGTTTTCATCTTGTGCAACTTGGAAAAACATCCTTCATTAAATGGCCGTCGTGAGCATACGGATCAAGCTTATTCCCTTCTGCTGTACTTCTTGCACTTACAAGGTTTTTTTTGTCATCAGAAATTTGAGATTTGTTAAAAATTAATTCTTAACTTTCAATTATTTATTATATGTTAAGTTTTATTTTCAGTAGTTGCCTCATAAAAAAAAAAAAATCAGCCAATCTAACCATTCTTGGACAAAAAAGTATGAACATCAACACAGCTATGCACATTTCAAGGATCTTGAAACAGTTTTTCTTTACTTTGAAGATTTATTTTTGGGGATTTTTATTCCTTTTTTTGACATGACACTAGATAGAGTGGGAAATCAGGATGAGAGTGGGGAATGACATGCGTAAAAGAAGCCACAGGATGGACTCGAACCCAGGCCGCCCACTTGGAGGACTATAACATCCATATATGGGGCGAGAAACTACAGTACCCGCTAGGCTAATACAAAATGTACCAGTGAGAAAACAAAATGCTTCTAATCTTATTTAGGGATGCCCTTCAGATTCTTGTTACGAAACAAAGAACACTGTTTTTATTACGATCAAAATGACCCTGAAGGAAAACGTATCAGCTTCTATTTTAAAGACTTTAAATTGGGATAAATAAAAAAAGCTTCATTCACAGGTCAAGACATTTTTGAAAGTTTCTCTGTGGGATCAAATGGAAATAAAACAACTTTAAGGCGTCTACGTTGAAAAACATCCTTTTAATAGGTCCGTGCCACACACTAGTGAAAAATAAAGCTCCTACAAAAGAATGATACTTTTATTCCACAATATCTTAAATAAAGTAACTTCAAGTACTCTTGACTTGGGTACAAAAAAATCTAGCTGCCTCCATCAGGCCACAACACACAGCAAGGTTCAACACAGTGGTTACAAATGGCCTTAGGTCCTCTGTATTGTGGCAGATTACGAGGAAATGCAACATGGAAGCATAACCGAATGCTTGTTGTTCCTTTTTTTTCTTCTTCTTCTTCTTCTATGGTGAGGAATGATTTCTGTGTCACTGTCCAACTTTGGAGGCCTTGTTGGATTGAAATCATATTTAAAAAAAAAAAAACAACGTTGTCATAAGAATGAAAACTAAAACAATAACATCCCCTACATGCCCCTGTTGGAAGGGTAGGCACTACCAAGATTAAGGATACCACAGTGTTTGCAGAGGATATGTATATACTGTACAAACAATATTTATGATAATGTTTTCATCACGTTCACTAAAATAGAATGCTACAATCATTCTAAGGCATAAACAATATCTTAATATTCTTAAACAATTTTTACACATTGTTCCAAACAAGACATAATATTGACATTAATAAACAGTATATACACATGAATCACAATTGTCTGACTGTTCCTCTGCTGTTCCTGTAAATGAATGCAGTTTTACAGTTTGAACAAATGAATACAGTCCTCTGATGCCCCAAAGCACTGAACAGTGTAAACAGTTTTTTTTTCTTGGCTTTGTTTGATATTTGGGAGAAAAATTATAACACAAAGACACATTCCTTTTTTCTTTTTTTTTAAATTCAAAGCAGTTCAGCTGATTCTTCCTTTTCATAGAAAATGAAGTGGACCTTGATTCATAAATAATTATTACAAAATTAAATACATTCACTATAATACGATTAAATAACAAAAGACTTTTTACAAGTAGTGGAAAGTATTCTAGAGCAGACACATCAGTGATAGTTGAGGATTAATTCAGTGCAGTGTTCTGAGACAGGGAATGGTATTGCACTACGACACCCCATTTCTCTGGGACTCTTTGGGGCTTTTATCCCTGTTGTAATAAAATCCAGCGCACCTCCTGTAACGAGTTGTTTTTGTTTCAAGGTGACATCTCTCTGAATCACATTGCGGATTCCTTAGTTAGGATTTGTCTTCTTCCGTCTCTCAAAGCCAAATTGTCCATCAGAAAATAAAAACAAAGATAAAACCTGGTGCTCCGATAGGAAACGTTGAATGGGTTTTGTGGGGAGTATCTGAACAGACTTTAGTTTGTTTGTTTCAGAAGCTCAGTCCAGCGCTTCTCAAAGAACTTCCTCATGTTATGGCCAGCTCGACCAATGTCTGAATTGTCTTCATTGAATTTTTCACAGTTATCAAAGACCAGGTTGACATCAATGATGAAAGTCTCCAAGTTCTGATACCTGTAAGATAAACAAAAAGTCTTGAGGTGAGAAAGTGCAACTTGCATACAGCTAATACATCACAAACTTTCTTACTGAATAACACTTTTCTGACTTTAAATTCTGTGCAGAGGGTCCTGCAGGATTTCAGTAGAAAATGAAAGAGAATAAAAAGAATTGACGGGGACTCACTGGCTGCTCACAAGCTTCTCACGTATGGTGGAGAAGTCCATCGGTTTCTTGATGACCTTCTTGTACCCAGGGACTGATTTCAGGTTGACGGGTGTGAGAAAAGGCCATGCATCTTGATGCCGCTCCAGCTCAGCAAGGAGTACCCTGTACAACACACACACACACACACACACACACACACACACACACACACACACACACACACACACACACAGTTAGAGCAAGAATTGGAGTAGTTAGGGATGAAGCCTTAGGTGTCACATTGAGAAGCTGTTTTTTCCTCTGTGAAATGTTTAATTTCTACCTTATTCAAACAGTTATCATTTATATTGTTGCATCAACAAATGATCATGAATATTGTATTAAAAAACAAGACACATTTTTTCAACCAACTCTAGTTTCTCCCCTGCTCGGTTGTGCATTTCAGCTCATTATTTAAGTCGTATAACCCCTGACTTTATAGCCGCAGCAAACATCTACTTTCAGCTGCCGACGATTGTACAAATATGTGATACCCTATGTAGTTGGTAGAGACCAACAGTGAAAGAAAGGAAAAATGTGATATATATTCTTCAGGGACGCACAATGTTTTATGTGTAAATAGATGCCTATTTGCTTATAAGCTTGCCTTATTGAAATCCTGAATATCCTACGTCAATAATTACTTAATGTCACACTATGGGGATTTAGCAAAGGGCCACTGATAAAAGCCCTTGAATTTACTGGTTAACTGGGGGTCAGCCGTGTTGTTCCCAGAAAACATTTCAAGTGGTGCACAGTTAGTGATTGGTTTTCCATCACCCAGCTTTTGTTGATTCACAAAGGAGGTTAGTTGGTCTAGGCACAAAAGACTTGCTCTTCAACTCACTTATGGTTGATGTGGCAGAGTGTCTCTTTTATCTTTCTGCTAAGGTTCAGTGTAAACAGTTACAAAGGTATAAAAACACATCTTCAATGAATCACTCATCGCCAAGGGCGCAGCGAAAGAGGAAAAATCGGAGAGCTAATCCAAGATTTTTTAGCCTGAAATATAACTGCATATGATTAAGTGTGTTTTTAAGGGCTAAGACCAACAAACACCACAGAAAAATAGACTAGGCTTGAAGTGAACTTTATGCTGAAATTTTCTTTTTTTTAATTAGCGGTAAATAACGTTTGATTTATGTAGAAAAGGAAAGATTTTAATCTTGTTTATTGGTAAAGTGAAGATGTCTTACAGTAAATCTCAGCTACTGTACATCTGTCTAGAAGAATGTCATTTTAAATGAAGAATTCAAAGTCAAACAAGTATGAGCAAGCAGAGACACATACCTGCATAATCCCAGGTCCCTGTTGTTGTCTCTCGCTGTCTTGGCTCGCTTCACACACACAGGGCTCTCCTGATTGGCTGGTGGCTGAGCAGGTGAGCTCTCCTCTGTTTTCCTCTTCCTGCTGGTGTCTTTTGCTCCTTTCTTGGGCGTGCTGCTGACGCTGGCCGGGTCGTCCTCTGACACTTCCCCGTTTCCTGCCTGCTTTCCATTCTTCTTTGCCTCTCCACCTTTCTTACCTCCTCCCCCTCCTCCGCCTCCCCCTCCTCCTCCACTGGATGCTACTTGTTTGCTTTGAGGTTTTTTGTTTTTGGGAGACGGACCACTTGCCTGCACAACGTAAACAAAATATTAATCATTCTAATATTTGTCATTTAGGGACCAATGATACATAGTTTCTCCTCTGGCCAAGTCTACATGAGGCTTTTGGAAAAGTGTAAAATACATCTTTTTTTCATAGCTTCTTCAGATTGTTCTTTGTATGACTGTAAATAAAGAAATAAGCTTTATTGCAACTTGATGGTGGAAAATCAAAATTTATGCTGCAGACATTAAATGTTAAGAGGCAATGTGATAATAACTTATTGGGAAATGTATAGTCCTTGCAGTTGTTGAGAATATAATGAGCATCAGGTTATCTTGTGGCCTGTTATTTAAGGCACGTAACAAATACTGTGATAGTGTGTCCCCACTTTGAAGGCTGGGAAACCTTTGTTCTACAACATTTTTTCTCTATCAACCTAAAAATATAAAAAATATAAAATGTAAAAATATATAATTAATTTGTACTACTGCAAAATATTTCCCTCTAAGAGTGAGTCACTGCAGACATATGGCCCTGCATTTAAAAGTCCTATC